TTACACAATAGCTCTGAAAAACAATAAAACCTGCAATTCATTTTTCATATGAGATTCTTACAAAGATAAAATCAGCTATCTTTGGATTCAATTATCAAAAGATTCCTTTGGTTGAGGGTGTTTGGTGTTGTCCAATCCACCCCTTTTCTTGAACATGTCTTCAACAAATGGCAATAGTGATTTACAAGTAAATGTAGCATTATTCGAGGGTGATGCTGTTAGACTTATTCTTGATTTTCTTCAACAAAGCTAACTTTATATTAGTATGGTTTTGATATTGAACGTGAAATAGGTATAATTAATGGATCTTATTCAAAAGAAATACTTTTTTTACGACAACTTATTTTGGATGGACTAAGGGATGATGTTGTTGATTTTATTCAACCATTAAAAATAATCGATTTATTTATATTATTTTAAGGTACCAATTTTTAGAATTATTATGTTTAAGAACTGAAGCACAAATTGAAAATGATGTATCAGTTGAACAAATAGTGACGTAAAATACATTAAATTAATTTAATTTATTAAATAAATAAAAATAATATTTTAGATTTCCTAATGATTTACGATCAATAAAATCATACATATTATTATAATTGGAATTCAATTGCTGGACGTATACAATATTTTTATAAAGTTTTCCGGCTTGTTTACCGATTTCTACAAGTAAGAATGTTTTTAAGAGTAATACATAATGTGAGAAGTTCTTAAAGATACATGAATATAAGCAATAACATATGCGTTTAACCTAAATTTCCACTTATAATTAACTGACAACTAGTTTGACGTATAAGACCATACATTACTGTTGACATCCTTGTGTTTGAACTATTTTTGTGAATATAGATAGATAGATAGGTAGTCCACGGTTCCTGTGAAGTAAGGTTGATCTCAAAGAAAAAATCACTGACAGACTTGTTTTACATACATCCACACTATCTGCAAATGCTCAGGAATGAAGTGTACTAGATAACAACGAAATAGTTTTATAAACCAGCTGAAGCACAATAGCCAAGTGGATTAATAGCAAAAAATAAATAATGTTTCTTCTACTACAATAACACTGAATCTTTGCTAAAAGAGCATTCCACTATAAATTCCAAACAAGAATTAACTATATTTCAGTGCTAATTGTAGAGGCGATAAAACGTAATGTATGTATTTAATGTTGATCATGATACTCGATCAACATCCCTTTGAATTATTGTTTAAATACATTTTCACCGAATATCTAAAACAGTAATATATGTATGTAATACGTCAAACGAATATGTTCAAGATTAGTACTTACTGATTAAAACAAAAACTTCGATTAATTTATGTGAGCACTCACTTCATACTGAAATCAACTCGAGAACTGTGTACCCTGCTGAAACTATCGGAATGTGCTCTCCTAGTAAGGCTGCCCGCTGTACACCACTTTGCCATTTTGTACCCCATTCAGACTTTTAGGTCTGCGGTACGATTGCCTAATGTTCTAATGAAAATAACCTGTCTTCCTCTACACTTTTCTCATTTTTATAAAGAAATAAATAATAAAATGTGTTGGTAAATAGCTGACCGATAGATATTAACATCAATTTTGTTCAATTTCGTCCTAAATTATTTGGTTTTACAAAATATTTTCACTATGAATAATTAGATCAATTTTATTGAATTTTTCTCTTTTCCCCATTTCCCATCGTTTCATTACTTTTTTCTATTAAATTTGACAAATACATATTGTCTCAAAAATGAATCTAGTTTTAGATTTTCTCCTCGATTTATTTATTTGTTGTGACACTCTTCGCATGTCATCGAATAAGCGTTATGAAATCGAAAAATCTGATAATTTAGATGCAACAATAAGTGAAGAATTTTTTAGTTTCCGAAACAAACCAACTACCAATATCAAAGAAAAAACATTTATTAAAGTCAAAAAAAACGCTGGGTGTGGGTGTAGATGAGAGTCTAATTGATTTGTACTCACACCTACTTTCACATCGGGAAAACTATGTTATAAATATGTCTTTAAACATGAGTCTTCTTGTGGCCTACAGTCAGTTCGAACAGTGTCTTACAAAAGCTGTCCATGATAGTATCTTTATTCTGGTGAAAATATTTAAACAGTATGCGATCGCACTAATGTGTTGCGACAAATGTCAGAATACGAAGTCATTTTCTTCAATAAAATCATTATTAGTTCGATGAGGGAACAAAAAAGGTGTTTGTATTGTTATCTTCTTGGGCACTTGCGATGACTTGGTTGCATAGAATGCATTGGGATGAAACTTTCGTTTGTTGAATTTGAGCAAGACATTGGACACACACCACTTTATGTCCACAAGGCTGAAAGCGTACAGAGCGTAGTGCGTCCATGCAGACAATACATAATCGTTCAGTCATGGCGTCAAGTTCATCGGCAATTGCTTGAGCTGTTGGCCTCAGCTTTGGATTCTTCTCAAGACAACGAACAATCAATGCACAATAGTTTTCTGGAATTTTTTTTCTATCGAGTTGATGTACTTGGTCAAGAATCCTATTCGACGGAGGAATGTAGACGTCTTTAGGTGCACACACAAACATGAGCACACCGAGCAAATAAACGTCAACTGCTGTACCTTCATACGAGTATTGTCGATCGCTACTGGAATTGGAAGCGGTGAGATCCGGTGGCAATGGAAAAGAACCCACAAGTGTGCTGTTCTCGGTGCCATGTTGGCATGTACCAAAATCGGCCAGATACACTTCCTCATGTTCATCCATGAGAATATTTTCTACTTTAATATCACGATGAACAAGATCGAAGGCGTGCATATGTGCAATGACACCAGCAATATCACGTGAAATTTTTATGGCTTTATCTGTAGTCATGGTTCTTATATTTTTGAGAAGAAATGAATGCAAGTTAGTGGGATAGCGAGGCAAGAGTAGGTACATTGAAGCCTTCTCGTCGACATACAGGTATTTCAACTGTATCAAGTGCGGAATGTCAAGTTTGGTAACTGTTCGATGGAAATGAGCTTCCAGATAGGTGAAATTCTGGTCGTTTATGTGCTCTCGTAGTTTCTTCACGACTAATCCATGTTCATTATCCCATGATGAAGGATGGACAGTGAAAAATCCTCCTGTGCCCAAGACTTCATCATGAATAACAATTGGACGCGACCCATGATGAGCGGCCAAATTTAGATTTGCTTCGAGATGACATTCAATACGGATGAATTTGGAAACGAATAAACGAGCGAGTTCATACGCTTTCTGACGATCTTGAATAGTGCGGCAAACCACGCGGTGGTATCCATTGACCTTTTTCTCATATTTCTTGTGTTCCTGGTCGATCCATTCTAACATGTTTATTTTCACCTGGTCGCCCATCTTGCTCATTGCAGCTTCAAGGTCGACCAAATAATGACGAATGCTTTGTTTTCGACGATCTACTGCATCTTGTAATCGTTTATCAGTGCACCCTTTTCGCGCAAGATATAAAAGACCAAATGAGACGCCGTAAGCCATGAAAAAAGACAATAATACTGGACTGAGAAATATTGCTGCGATTGCCTTGTAAATAATATGTTCGACACTAAGCTGATTTATGTTGCCAAAATTGCCGATCTCAATCAATACTTCCCGATAGGCTGCATAGAGTAATTCATTTTTGCTTCGATGGCATGTGTGATCTTTACTCATCTGTTGCTTAATATTATTACTTTCTTGAGAGATGATCTCCAGTAAGACAGGTTTCGTCACCTCTCTTTCCATCAATATATCGATGAATGTCTGCTCGTCGTTGCGATAGTCACGGCTTATGTTTTTGACAGATTGGATTAAATGTCTAATCATGGCTAATCCTTCCTGAAGACCAGGAAGACTTAGCCGGTCGTCCCAGTGAATTCCTCGTGTTTCACAATCATCGATAGCTTTTTTCTCAATATCGAGACGTTTCTCTTGAAAACGTTTTGGTAAACGAAGGTTAGCTTCTTTAGCAACTGCATGAATGGCGGATCGATATTGCTCGAAAAATGTCTTACCCCATTGTAATGCATCATCACGCAGCTTGTTCCATTCGTCAGTGGAACGTCGATTGGTGACAAGAACAAAATCAAAGAATGCATCGATAGCCTCGTGAACAATGTTGATAACATATTTCGTCAATCGCAAGTCATGTTCAGCTGCAAAGTGAATGATTCGATTGATAGCATGACTCTTGATTGTTATCTCCATGGGATCGAGAGGCGATGCAGTAGTGAACATATCGAAAGAGTTACACTGGTCAAATGAAGGTCCCATCTCGCCCAGATTTCGTTCGTGAACATCACCTTTCATTTCGTCAATTTTCATGAGGAGTTCGTACCGGTGTGATCGCTCTTTATCAATTAGTTTCTCGTCATCGTCATCTTCATCGTCATCATTATTGCTTGCATCTTTGCGCATGATTGCCACGTCCGCTTTCGTATTGAGAAAGAAAATATCGACACCCATCTGTTCACTACAAAGAGCAACTTTAAGCTCATTGTAGCATTTCCGTGAATCATCGGATCCTGTGGGATTATCATAGAGAAAAACGATAGTCGGATGAACGCTGCCCACCAGGGTCAGTAAATTCTCACGTAGAATTCGCGGATCCGATCCAAGAAAGCCTGGCGTATCATAGACATGCAAACCTGGCTTCAAATGATCTGAAGGTAAACGAATTTCGACAAATATCTTTGCCCATTTTGAAAATTCATCCGACTGTTGATCGATGCCCTCAGGTCGTCCCACGTGTTCTTTAACAACTTTTCTGAGTCCTTTGCTACGGGTTTTGCTACTCACACCATTTTTGAAATGAGCGGATAAATCAATCCGATCATCAATCTCAGTGAGATCTTGCACAGAGGTATATCGAATCAGACACGCACTTTCCTGAGGAGCATATGAAAATTTAACAATGCGGGCTGTCACAGCACCTTTCTCCACGGGTAAGAATTCGCCACAACCGAGTAGTTCATGTATGAAAGATGTTTTTCCTACTGAATTATAACCGGAGACGGCGAGTTGAACGTGTTCTAATGGATTAAATTCTTGCAAGATCTTTTTCTTGGTTTCATCAAGGAAAATCTCCGCTACATGCTCAATCGTAGCTAAATTTTTGTATACCTGATCCACCTCACCAAGAAAATTTTCTTGCACCTCAAGAAACTCTTTCACCAAAGTCAAAGTCGATTTCTTGATAGAATTGTTCGATTCAATAATCGATTCAATATGCTTAAGGTCGGCAAGCATTACTTGTGATGATGCTGTCATTTCGTCAAAATAAAGATCAAACAAGAAGATAACAAAGATTTCACGTCTTCTATATATTTACTTTTCCAACTTTCTATACAAAGATAACAGAGATTTTCGAATCAATAGAGAACAATAGAGGTCCTCAGTGGCCACGCGAGTTTAAAGGTGTGCCCATGTAAATATTTTTTGCCTCGAAACGCGTCTGAAACGCGTTCCATTTGCGTGCGAAACGTACAGAAGCGAACGCGTCTAAATGCGTCTCCAGTGAAACAAACGAAGCGTTTCNGGTGCCATTTCTTCTCATCACATATATTGCCTTTATCTTTCTGTCCTTGATATTTGTCTTTATCTCTCATTCTCCTTCGTTCTCTCAAATGGTTGAGTATTTAAGCGTGTGCTTTATATGTAATCGACTCGGCTTTATGATTTGAAGAGTGAAATAAAGTGTAATACCATCAGCACAAGCTTCTCTTCTATCAGAAATCGTTACAGACGGTTGCTGTGCAGAGGGGACCTGAGAGCAAAGTGGCCAGATCAAAAATTGAAAAATCAGAAAATGGCAGTTTTTGGCAAATTAGTACATCTTCCGCTAAAATACTGGCATCCAAATTTCTGCTACTCCTCTGTTCATTGACTGAAACTTTATTTTCAAAGATATTTCAATAAAAAGAAAGACAATATAGTGAATATACCGTTTAGCTAATACGGAAACTTCAATAAAAGATATTTAACGTTGAGCTTCTTTTTAAAATTAAAAAGAGGAAAACTAAATCACATACATTCTGCGTAGATTAAGAAATCCAACGAGAAAAAAACGTTAAAACCCATCATCTCGGTATTGTTGTTCGTATTTCGTATCTTTTGGAATTTGCTCTAGGAAGTTTGTTTAAGATAACATATGCTAATGAAAAGTTTCTCAAGAATAATTACCATTCACTTTTTTATTTTAAGTTAAACATTATCTGGTTTTATATTGTCGGATTATGATAGTCCAAATTCAGAAATTTTCCCTATTCTTCAGAAGATCTGGTCATCTGCTGAAGAGATCCTCTGAAATATGGATGAAAAGCAAGACGGACGCAGTCGAATGCAGGCAGCTATTCTACTTGACTGTTTTGACATCTATAAAACGAAATAAACCAGCTTGTTATTGATGCGCTGCATTATTATCACATGTAAAAGAAGAAAGGGAATATGAAACTTATTGTTATCCGATGATTAATATTGAGCCATTTTTGGGAAATTAATCATATATACATACATACAGCACATGTTATTAATTCGAATAATACAATAATCATTCAATTATCTCGATAAAAAACTGACTAATTGATGATAGCTTTCGAATGATTGAGTCTTTAGGGATTAGGAGTAATGTTTTGAATTGGAAGACCCAGTTTTCAAATGTTCCTAATTTAAAAAGTCTATATTAAATGCATGGAAAAAAGCATATTTTGAGTATATGAACTTTTTTGTTATCTGAACATGAAAACTTCAATTTGATTCATGACAGAAAATATCATGCAGTCCTAGTAGATTCCCTATCGACTTTTTGAAAACAATATAGCTTTTACAAAATTCTCAAACCTTTAAATATATAAGATGTAGTTGCTGCCATCCCAATGGTCTTCAATACGATGATGGCAATAGAAACATGCTAGAATATTTCCACTATTATTTTTGAGGAGAAAAAAATACATCAATAGTGTTTGACGTTCGAAATCACAAATAAAATTATGTTCTTTACATTTTTCATAGTGTACGGATTTTTTTAAAAGCAAATAAAACACATTAACGATTTATAGAAATAATCGTTATGCTTTTGATCTTATACACTTATCTGAGTTTGATATGAAAAATGAGAAAAAAGTTTTTTTCATTCTTGCTTTATTTTCAAACATAGTATCGGTTCGATATACTACAACTAAACACCACAGTTTCAGCAATTTTGAGTACATAAGAACGAGTGTTTATGGCTTAAAAACAAATTCTAGATAGATTTAAAGGGTGCAAAATAAAACTAAATTAGAAAATTGCAAATTCTTATGTTTACGATGATTGATTATGATTTCATATTAAAAACGTAAACAAACTGGTTTTATTTACTGCAGCAGGTATTTTAGTGCTAAATGATAATTTTATAATACGTTTATTTGATTCTACTTAAGAATGTGGTGGCGAGAGAAAAATCAAAGGATATAGAATCTACCCGTAGTTGGCGACATCTATAAACTTAAAAGTAGATATCTCATTGCTTAGAACAAAGAACTAATAGAAGTATTTTTCTGTTCCTCCTTCGCGCACACAAGCATTTTTTGATTTGCTACTTTTTTTTGTCTCTGTCAAGATTCATCAGTAAGTAGTTTGATCTTCATATATTCAATTAAATCAATGTTTACATATTATTTGCAAGGTCTAATCTATATTTAGAAAAAATTTCCATTTTAACATAAGAAAAAAAATATTGTTAATGGTCATCGAAAGTACAGTTGTTTATTTATGATATTGTTTCATTTTTGTTTTACTCGATTAGGATGTTATTTTTCAATATCAATCAACGAGTCTGTCCTTGTTTCATATTACTTTGTGATGAACTAATTGTCTTGATGACGTTCGCTTCGTTTTTATTCGTACTATTAACAAGAACACGTTGTGGAGCCATTGATGTATTTGGCTTCATTGATATCAATTGTAGATCTGATGACGATCTTGGTGCTGCTTGAACATACTGTATTGAACCAGCTTGAATTTGTTGTGGTTGTCCAAAGGTTACTGTTTGCGATCTGGCGAAGGTTGGTTGAAGCATTGATTGATTACCACTGAGTATCATTGGAGCAGCAGTTGTATTTAAAATAGTTGGCAAAGCAAAAGGTTGTTGTTGGTTTTGAAATTGTATTGTAGGTAAAGTAGTTTGTTGTGGCTGCATTTGAACAGTACCTGTAATAGCCTGTGGTTGTTGACATTTAACTGGTACTAGAATAATTTGTTGTTGTTGTTGGGGAGCTCTAGATTCGCTTGCATGTGAACATGATCGATAACGACGCTTACAACATGGAGTTATTGTTTCACAAGTTGATATTGATGAACATGAATCTGATCTAACGATACAAATAGTAGGACGTGAATGACATCGACGACGAATTCGAATTGGACGCCCGTATCCACGTGGTTGTTGCATCATAGACATAGGATTCATGTTTGGATAGGGCATTGGAGGTCGGCCATTCATATTTGGATATGGCATAGGTGGCGGACCATTCATATTTGGATATGGCACAGGGTAGGATGGTGAAGGTGGACCTATATTGGAATTCATTGGTGGATATGGACCAGCTCCTCCAGGAGGAACATAACCTTGATATGGATAATTACCAACAGCAGCACTTCCGGGAACATATGATTGTGGAGTAACGAGTGGAAAAGGTTTGGGTAGACCGGTGTTTTTTTTGCGTTTAAAGCGACTAAAAAAGCCAGAATCTGATGAATCTTTTGAGCCCTGAAATATAGAAGATTTAATCATTTAAATTTATTCTTCTTTCAGATACATTAGTAATGACAACTGCGGATAATGATCCCGCTTGTGTCATTGCCATCGAACCATCTGAACTCGATCATATTCGTGCCAATGTTCTCAAATCTCAGATAGCAACTTATCGTCTTCTAGCTCGCAATTTGCCAGTGTCAAATTCTCTACTTCAATCATGTTCATATAAAGTACAACTAGCTGCGTTGATTCAAAATCATGTTCAAGAACAACCTGAAATAACCCAACCAACAACTATTGTGCTTGAAACTCATCAAAATGATGATGATGATAGTCCATTAAAGTTTACATCGGCAACAGCTATGTATCAATGGCTAGTCGGAACACACCAAATCAATAATATCGATGAAGAAGATGCTATTCCTACGCGTATTCGTCAACATCCAATTAGTCTCAATCCTTTGTATATTCAACAAGAACGAGAAAAACGGTAAAAATAGGACATTTAAAAATTAGCAATCAACTACTATTTCGTTATTGTTTTCGAGAAAGTGTTTATTCATCTATACACGTAGAGGATTCTACAATAGTATCACAGGAAAATTAATATAATAGTTTCTCTCCACGTACGACGTGTTCATTGTATATCTTTTTTCGTTTTATATTTCGATCAAATTTTTAAGTTTTCTTTAGCTTTTACATAGAATAAAGTGCTCATCTCAATTCAAACTCTTATTTTAGTGTTTTTAATCGTATTTCTAATCGTCTTCAAGAACTTGAACATATGCCTTCTCAAATGAGTGTTGACTTACGAACACAAGCATTAATTGAACTTAAATCACTTAAATTACTTCAATTTCAAAAGCAACTTCGCGGCGAAATTCTTCATACTATGAAGGTTTCTATAAGCTAAATATTAAAGTTTATTTCTCTATTTTTGTTTTTGTTTCTAATAGAAAGATACATTAATACAAACGGCTCTCAATCCACGTTCATATAAACGTCCAAAACGTCATCATCTTCGTGAAGCACGGTCCACTGAACAGTATGAACGACAACGTAAAATCGAAATCGAACAAGGTCAACGTGCTAAACATCACGAATTTCTCAATGCTGTTCAAAATCATGCACGTGAATTCCGTGAATATCATCGTCGTTATTCACTATCAACGGCACGGATGAATAAAGCAATTCAAGCTTATTTTGCCAATAATGAACGCGAATTAATCAAGGAAAAAGAACGCAAAGAAAAAGAACGTATTAAACGTTTAATGAACGAAGATGAAGAAGGTTATCGAAAGTTGGTTGATGAGAAAAAAGATGCACGTTTAACATTATTATTATCACAAACCGATGCTTATATTGATAATCTCAAACAATTAGTTCGACAACATCAACAAGCAAATCGTTCGCGTGAACGAACAACGAAAACAATTTCAGATAAGCCTGTACAACCTGTTACAATCGTTGTTCACGAACCTTCAACTGATGAAGAAGTTAAACCAGCGTAAGATAAGATAATTTGCCGACGGAAGGAGTTTATCAGTATGTTCGTTTTTAGTCCGATCGTTGATCAAACTGGTAATGATGAAGCTATTCGTGATGCTGTCAAAGTTGCTGCAACAAATGAAGATGATGAGTATGATGCCAAAGAATCCTATTATTCAATTGCTCATCGTATTCGTGAGCCAATTACAGAACAATCGAAAATGCTTGTCGGCGGACAACTTAAACCTTATCAATTGCAAGGCCTTGAATGGCTTGTTTCGTTATATAATAACAATTTAAACGGTATACTTGCTGATGAAATGGGTCTCGGGAAAACAATTCAAACAATCGCATTGATTGTTCATTTAATTGATTATAAGAAAAATCCAGGCCCATCACTCATTATTGTTCCGTTATCAACATTATCGAATTGGGCTTCAGAATTTCAACGTTGGGCCCCCGATGTCGGCGTCATACAATATAAAGGTCTACCACATGTACGTAAAATGCTTGCACAATCGATACGTACAAATCGTTTTAATGTTTTATTAACCACATATGAATATATTATGCGTGATCGTTCAATATTATCCAAAGTTCCATGGAAATATTTAATTGTCGATGAAGGTCATCGGATGAAAAATCATCATTGTAAATTAACACAAATTTTAAATACATTTTATGTACATACACCACATCGTTTATTATTAACTGGTACGCCATTACAAAATAATCTGCCGGAATTATGGGCCCTATTGAATTTTATTCTACCAACAATATTTAAATGTGCAACCACATTTACCGATTGGTTTAATGCACCATTTGCTACTTTGCCAAGTGAAAAAGTTGAATTAAATCATGAAGAAACTCTATTGATTATTCGACGTCTGCATAAGGTGTTACGACCTTTCCTATTACGTCGACTTAAAAAAGAAGTCGAATCACAATTACCAGAAAAGGTTAGTACGCATAATAATAAGCTCTCGATTTGTACTAAGATTTTCGTAACAGGAAAGTATGCAAACGGTTTTTTAGAAACTTTCATATCTCACCTAACTATTCTGTTTCCTTAGTAGAAATAGTTTTGTCAATTCAAAAAAAAAACTTCTTATCCATATCTATCTAATTGTTTAGGTTGAATATACTGTTAAATGTGAATTATCAGCATTACAACGTTGTCTTTATCATGCTATGTCAAAAAATCGTACATTAATTATTGAAAGTCAAAATGGTAAAAGTGGTCGTCGGGCATTGATGAATAAATTAATGCAACTGCGTAAAATATGTAATCATCCATTTCTATTCGAAGAAATCGAAGAACGTTTAGCACGATCGCTTGGCTATAAAGATGGATTTGTAAGCGGGCCTGATCTATTTCGTGTATCCGGAAAATTCGAATTACTCGATCGTATATTACCAAAATTAAAAGCAAGTGGACATAAAGTTTTATTATTTTGTCAGATGACGGCTGTTATGGATTTATTCGAAATCTATTTTGCCTATCGAAATTATACATACATACGTTTAGATGGCACAACAAAAGCCGATGATCGTGGTGAATTATTAAAAAGTTTTAACGATGATAGTACGAATTGTTTTATATTTTTACTATCAACACGTGCTGGCGGCGTTGGCTTAAATTTGCAAAAAGCCGATACAGTTATTTTATTCGATTCGGATTGGAATCCACATCAGGATCAACAAGCACAAGATCGTGCACATCGTATTGGACAAAAAAATGAAGTCCGAGTTTTACGTTTAATGACTGTTAATACAGTTGAAGAAAAAATCTTAGCTTGCGCAAGGTATAAATTAAATGTCGATGAAAAAGTTATTCAAGCTGGTATGTTCAATCGTTCGTCCACGTCAAGTGAACGACATGATTATCTCGAACAATTGATTGAAGGAGAAGATGATTTTAAAGATGATGATGAAGATATACCAGACGATGAAATTCTTAATCAAGTAAGTTTATTTTCAGTGAAAACTATTGAATTTAATGACTCGTAGATAAAGAATTTGATTCCGGAATTTACTCAAACGATAATAAGAATAGCAATACCTTCTCGCTATAGAGTTATGGTTATTTTCATTCGCGAAGCGAATTTTCTTATATATGTTTTTTATAGTCATGTAGGGAAGATAAAAATGTCCTGATCATTTTTAGGCTCTTCATACCTCACATTATTCTTATGAAGTCAACTAAATATTTATTCAGAAAGTTTTTTCTCTATATAGTTCTAATGAAATGATTTCTTTCATAGATGATTGCTCGTACGGAAGGTGAATTTAATTTATTCAATCGTATGGATGTTGCTCGACGTGAATATGAATCTCTACATGGTGTGGGCAGTGGTGGTGATGGTGCTACCGAACGTCGGAATTGGAAATTATCAAATGCTGCAGTAGCAACACCAGTCGCTGATGATGCTAAACTTCTTACACCTCGAATTAAACGTAAAAAAGAAAGCGACAATGAAGATTCAATTGATCAACCATCAAAAGTTCCTTCCAATGAAAAGTAGAACGATTTATTTTCTCTCTCGTTCGTTGGAGAATTTTGTTTTTTCTTTTATTAGAAAACTAACACCTGGTTTTATTGATCAGAGTGATGATGACGCTACTGGCGGAGGTGAAGAAACTACTACGACAACTACAACTACAAACGATGAAACAACACCATCGCCATTAGAAGACATTGATGACGAAGAAGATCTTGATTACTCTCAAGTAACACCGACTATTCATCGTAAAATGAAAATAACTCGTCTTATCACCGACGATGAATTACCCGGTTGGCTGAAAAATGATGTCGAAGAAGTAGAAAAAACTCTTGAAAACGATGACGATTTTGGTAAAGGTCGTCGTCAACGTAAAGATGTTGATTATAGCGATAATTTAACTGAACGAGAATTTTTACAAGCATTAGAAGAAGGAAATTTAGATGATGCTGTTGAACAAAAACGTGTAAGAAAACAAAATCGTAAAAATGCCTTATCTACTGACGATAATGATATTGATCTTGATGAAACGGAAGCACGTTCATCATTCGATAATCCATCAACACCTATATCGCATCAACAAAATTTTTCATCGAAACGTGGCAGCGTGAAAAAACGTTTGCAAACTGTTGATCCTAAAATTGCACCACAATGCCGAGTTTTACTCGAACGTCTATTAGCCTATCGTACGGAAGACAATCGAATATTAGCACAACCATTCATTCGTCTACCTGGACAAAAACAATTACCTATTTACTATCAAACAATTAAAGATCCAATTGATTTTCAACGTATTAAACGAAAAATTGATACATACAGATATTCAAGTCTAGATGAATTTCAAACGGATATTGAATTACTTGTAGAAAATGCTCAAACATTCAATTGTGAAACATCATTAATTTTTGCTGATTCGATTCTAATAGAAAAAGTTTATAGGAATCTACGTGAACAACTTGATGCGGGTCTTATTGAAATGCCATCAGCAACGACAATAGCAAACGAACAACCAGCAACAACAACAACAACGCCAGTAGCTGCAGCAAAAACAACGACTCCTCGCCAATCAGCAAGGCGAGGTCGTGCTGCAAAAGCAACAGCAACAACAACTCCTGTTACAACGAATGGAGAGGTTTCACGACGAGGACGAAAAAGAAAATTAACTGTTGTTAAAGATGAGGAAGAATCGGATGAAGAACTGCAACAACAACAACAACAACAGCAGCAGCAGTCAGTTTCTGAAGAAGAACGTGATCATGATGCAAATTATGAATAAAGTGTCTTATACATATTTGTATATGTTTTCTCTTAATGTTGACTATATGTATGTAATTATTAAGGACAAACAAAATAAATAGTCTAAATGTTGTTTATCTTTTGATTCTCTCTCAATCGTCTTACCCGATTGCCCATATTTGATAATAGAATATATTAAACGAAGTTGATCACTATTATTGATGAAGTATCAATGTGAATATTGTATTCTCTCTTTCTTTCGTTAATACACGTTGTTGTCAATCATACTTATTACTGTTTGAACATAGCTTAGGATTAATTTTGCAATAACAGGAGAAATATCGTAATGCTTCTCCTTTTATACAATAAAATTACCTTGAATATAGCACAGAAAGAAAGAGTGAGTGTATACACAGACGAACAATATTTATACTTGACTTTTTATATGCTATATGATGTTTGTAGTAAAAAGCGCAATCGAGCGTAGAGTCTAAACGAGAGAGAGAGAGAGTAGAAACATCTTTTTCTGTATCATTATCGATGATATGATATTAATTTATCTCCTATATTGAACAGTTATAGAACCTTGGATATAAAGCAAAATAAATTTATATTGAAAATGAATAGAAATTAAAATATTTAGATACGATGTCGATGATGACTGCCGCACCCGAATGGAATGTGCCGTATGTATTCAAAGGAGCAACGATTATTGATGATACTCATTCGTGGACAGGAGGACGACGTTTGGCTAATTTATTTAATGAAAAATTATTATCGTTTCGACTTGGCAAACGACAAAAGTCATTTTTCGGTAGTTTAATATTAGGTTATTTTATCAACCTTGATGGGTATTCATGAATAGTATTGTTTTGTCCTTAGGACATGCTTGAATACACAAAAAAACAGGAATTTCAATTAGGTGAATAAATAAAAAGAAAATTATCTTCTGATAAACGAAAAATTGTTATCATTATATTACCTAAAATTTTTATGTGACAAGTTTTTGAGTAATGAAGGATACCTATTTTAACAAATAACAAGAACGATCATTATTATCAGATGATGAATTTCTGCTTGGATTATTCAAATTCAATAATTGTTTGATGATCACACTTTCCATCTCGGTATGATTATTGCTTTGACAGGTCTAGGACAAGTTTTTTGTCAAACATGCCGATCGTTTTCATTACTAGTCGTAGACATATTCCTTGAGATATTTTTGCTTTCGATGATTAATCAATCATAGTTTTCAGATTTTGGAAGCGCAGTTAATTTTTCTAGAATTTTTGAAAGTACAAACCGTTATTATCTAGGCAATCAGTGAAATATTTATCGTAGGCGATCGTGTTCAATTCGAAAAAGACTGTAATCATATTCAAGCTACTATCAATGATTTTCTTAGTTGGACCACATCGATCGATAACAATTCTCTTCCTATTGATCATCCGTTATATCAATATTCAAATAAAGAATATTTTGCCTATGCCGATTATATGCATTTACCTGAATTATTCGAAAATGATGATCAACATCCACTTATACATGTATGTATATTCATTCGATAGAGAGAGAGAGACTTAAGTAACTAATAATAATAATAATATTTTAAAGATGATCAAATGGTCTGATATAGGTTTAAAAGATCGATCTGGAAAAGAATCAACATTATGGATTGGTTCTCAAGGATCTCATACGCCATGTCATTATGATACCTATGGAATAAATTTTGTGGCGCAAATTGTTGGAAAGTAAAATATAAAATATCGTTAATTGAGAAATAATTTATTTGAAATTAAGAAAACGTTGGTTACTATTTCCACCGGAGAGTCCAATAGGTCAATTACAAACACGTATACCATACGAAGAATCAAGTGTTTATATTGATGTTGAACCATCTGTATTAGACAAATTCAAAGTAATTTGCTTTTTTATTTTTCCACGATGTAAAATAATTTTTCATAGGATATTGATGTTTACGACGTAACTCTTGAGCCTGGTGATGTTTTATTTGTACCAAAACATTGGTGGCATTTCGTTTCATCTCTTGATACAATAACGATATCGGTTAATAGCTGGCTAGAACAAGTAAATCATGGAATTGAATACGCAATATAATAGTTGATTAGTCATTTTTTTTCTTATAATAGCCTGATGATCATGTTGAACGAATTAAAGAAATGCTTGTTCGACAGATTATTACATCGACTATGTTATCCCATGATTATCCATGTGATCAATGGTTAAATCACAATGAAGTATGAATACAATGAAAATTATTTCCGTATATTAGTTTAAATCCACCTATATAGATTGCGACGGATCCCGCCACTAATTTGACATTACTATCTAGTCTATTGGCAAATACAGACGTACAAGAACCCACATCAAAGCGATCTCGAAATATAATTACTACTGCTAATCATGTAAATGAACAACGTTTAACCAGTACATTATTCGGAAGTATTGGCTTAACACCATCGAATGATAATGTTTCTTCGGATGCATCAGACGACGAAATTTTATTGAAACGTCTCCTGAAAGCAATGACTGCATCTGATACGATTGATTTAATTTATAACAAATTACTTTCTGCCTGAGTTTTCGTTTTTCGCAACAAATAAATTAAAAATTCTATGTGAAGTTACGATTTGAAATATTAAAAACGGCATAGCTATCTCGTTTTGTACATGACAAAAATAATGAACATACCGATCACTATTAAAAATCTTTAGGCCTGCTGCTTGTTTCGTAGGAATTTTTTGACTTTTATTAAACTTATGAAAAAATAACAGTACGATGTGTTTTGGAATGATAAAAAAGTAAAATCTACAAACACATATAAATGATTTTACATTGAACAGAGTGAACAAATTTACGTAAGCGACCTTTGACTAATCACACATTAATCTTGACGCATTGTTTTATCAATGTTGAGAAAAAAAACTTGTCACACATTTTATCAATGGTATTAGTTAAAAGAAACTTTTGATAGATTCTTTAGAAGGATAAAAGAATTGACGTGGCTTAATGAAAAGTTTTCTTGTATTTTATCACAGATGGTCGATATTTTCACTTGAAAATGTCATCGATTTCATTGAACAATGAATGTCCTTTATCGCAGATGTTTTTTGTTTTCTTTTGTAATTCAACACAAATCTACAAGAAACAAAAGATTAGTTCAAGATCACTAAATATCTATTGTTATTACATCGCATTATCATTCTTTTTCTTTTTCTTCTTCTTTTTTTTTCGAAGAAAAATGTTCATACTCTTGCTTCTTACCCTTCATCTGTTCTATTACTTTCTCATCGAGTGTTCGTATAGGTATTAACATTTATTTAAATAACTTCCTCTTTTTCTCATTGTCTCGCTCGTTCGTTCGTTCGTTCGTTTGTTCATACGTCAATGTAAAGAAAGAACGAGCGTACACATCTGAAACTACTACAGTACGATAATTTGTCTAAAAGTTCCTCTTTGTCGCTTGCATTGTATGAATTTTTTGTACATTCGAAAATGATTTGATAAGGAACAAAAAAAGAAAACAATGCTATTCGAAAAATGTTCGCGATGAATGTTCGATTATCATCATGTTCGACGTGTCAAATCGACGTTTATTTTATTTATTAATTAACTGTAAGTTGCATTGACTTTTGATTGAATCTGAACGCTCTCGTCTTTTGTTTTTTGAATTCTAGTTATTGTTATAATAATTCAAACAGCAATAGCTGAAAATTTCGAATGTGAAAAAGATGGATTTTTTCCTGATAAACGTGATTGTTGGATTTATCATATATGTGTTGGTGCAACACATTCAGTCAAAGCTTGTAAAGAAGATCTGCTGTTCAATCCGATTAAAAACGAATGCGATTGGGCTATGAATGTAAATCAATTTCATTGTCGGTTGCAAATCGAATTTTTCTTTTTTTTTGGCAAATCGTTTAGGTTCATTGTAATCATACGTCTTATGAAGATGCACCGCTCGCTACAAAACCAACACACGCCCTTTATCCACCTGGTAGAGATTTAATTTTTCTTTTCATTCAGGAAATTTCTGCTTTAGATTATACTGCTCCTACACGAGAGACTTCAACGCACGGTTCGATTTTTGATTATTTATGTCAATCAATTGATAATGACTATATAGCGCATCCAACTGATTGTAAACAATATGCTTATTGTGCAAATGGTAAGAATAGACGTGACATCGACTATAATATCTCTTAGAGCTAATCTAAGAAAGCTTCATCTCGTTTGTTTACTAAGGAAGAGAAAGTCTAGGCGACTCAATCACTACAATTAGTATTTACTTAGAAAATATTGATCATTCATAGAGCGATACAATACGACTATTCTTTTTTTGATGTCATAAAACTTTCATTAACATTTCAATTACTCTAAACGAGAGAAATCTGTCAAATTTTTAATGTTTTTGTACGAACATACGACCGTATTAGAATAAAGACATCAAAAATTTCATGTGTCGTTTAGGCATACCACAATCTAAACTATGTAAAAAAGGTCTATATTGGTCGCAATCAGAAAAAATGTGCGTTTGGCCTGCACAATCAGACTGTAAGTCTACGTTTCCGCATTTTTTCCTCGAATCATTTCTCTTGGAAAAATCTCAAGGTCCGGTGAAGAGTCATACTTCAACACCGAGTGTATCAGCATCGGCTGCTCGTAATGTTCCTTGGCTACCTCGAGAGACAACCTATCCTTCATCCTACATGCTGACCGATGAACCATCGTACCACAATACACCACTGGATACTTCAAAACAGTCAACAATTTGTCCTCCAAGTAAATCGTGGCGTATACCTGATCCGTACGACTGTTCACTTTATCATGATTGCTATCATGGTACTGATCTTGTTTCGAATTGTCCAGCACAACTTCAATATAATGCTGAAAAACAAAGCTGTGATTACGCACAAAATGTTCAATGTAAGTTTTGTTTTTCATAGTCGATGGCTGTTTTCTGTTTCTGAATAATTTGCTTCAATAGGTAAAAATAAGTGTTCATTCGATAACGAAGGTGCTCGTTTTGTTGATTCAGTAAGTTGCTGCCATTATTATGAGTGTACAGGAGGTAAACTGAATCTTCAATCATGTCCACATCCAAATTTATTTGATATACAAACTCGTAAATGTGTACCATATAAAAAAGTAAAATGTGATGGACGAAGGCAATGCTTAAGTAAATGTAAGTAAAGAGAAACAAATAAAAGTGATTAGTTTCTTTTTGCATTTGTAAACGAAGGTCATTATTTGTCGAATTATGATCTTGGAAAAAATCTATGCGGTGTTGTTCCATCGTGTGCGGGTCATGGTGATGGATTTTATCTTGATCGGACGAAACCAAATTGCCAATCGTATATACAATGTTTAGATAATCGAATAGCTAATCAAAGTCGTTGTCCGAATGGTAAACGTTTCAATAGAAATATGGGCCGATGTACAGCAGCTGATCAAGTACCTTGTCAGGGTAAATATTTTTCATTTTGGGTTTCAGCGAAATATTTGTATGCTGTTATCAATCAGTTAAGTACATACATGTGATGTATGATTTTATGACTAAACACCCTAATAGATAAACTTTTTCATAGGTTTTTCTTTCCTTTTATTTTGATCCGGCTTTTGCAAGTTTTCACGTCCTGACGATTATATTTATGACTTGATTGCAAACAGTCAACGTTAAAAGTGATGATAAAAAAGAAACAGACTGTCTTCAATCATATAAACATTGTTATTTTAATAACTGAACAGGTTTTTCCTCCTCTAAAACGACCAAAATAGAATTTTATTCTAGTTAATCACTCTGTATATAGAATGGCTACAGTCATTCGCAGGGGTGACTTATGTTTCGTCTCACCTCTTCCGAACGCCGCGTAAATGTTACCGGGTGTTCGGAAATGAATTTTATTCGTAAAAAATGATGACAGGAGTTCGCAAACACCTATGCACCGGAGATCGTAATAAACACCGTCGGTAGTTCGGAAGGAAATTCTAAGGGTACTTAAACGTGGAGTCCGTAAAAGAATTTATATGGATAGTGTAATTGATATAAAGACTTTCTGCTCTTATAGACAATAATAACTTGCATTTTTGATTTCATCCATGATTATATTACTAGACGATTATTCTTTCTTTGCCTATACTCCTTGTGCTATAGTTTCAGAAGTTGTTTCTAAGGTTATAAGTTGATTAAAAACCAACAGTTATCGAAAGCAACGACTGAGCAAGTTGCTCCTAAATCTTATTTACGTTCAACGCCAATATTGAATCGTCTTAGAGTTAGACCCAGCAATCATACTACTGCTGTTTCGTCTTCATCTTGCACATCGTCATCTCAATCTGATCTCATTGCTTCAACGCCGAAAAATAAACAAATAGTCAGGTTCAAAAAACGTGTACATTCATCGAAGAATAAATAGAATGGTGATGTACATTAACACTAGAACCATGAATATACATGTATTCATTTTCTTTCAATAAAGCTAGTATGTTGTAACAGAAAGTATTCAATGAATAGTGAGAATAATAACTAATACTAAAGTTATTATAGTAAACAGAAGTGCAATCGTAGTTATTTGAATCCGCCGAAATGCTGACTATACGTGATTTTAGGTGGCGACTATAGCGCATCAGTTCATATTTTCTCACAGGGAAACAAAACCTGAACATACTTGCGAAAATCGTGTCGTTTTTTTTTACTACGGTTTCCATGTCTTTGCCATTACGAGCATCCGGACATTCTTGTTACGATCTCCAGTCAAATTTTGATGTTTGTAAAGAGAAAAATTTACATGGAGTTCGGAATCAAATTCTGAGAATACCTTTCTCAACGGTTATATCCTATGAAAAAGCTATTGCCAGAATTGATTCCGAACACCATGTGTTTTTTTTCATGTCAGGAGATCGTAAACAAATTATTTTACCGGAGATCGCAAAAGAGAGCTGCGACGAAGTACCATCTTCCCATTATCAGAACATGAGATCAAAGATGATTCATTTTTCTGATCGAGAATATTAATCATGTAAGCGGGATAAGCTAACTGTATCCTTGAATCAGAGTTGAGTAGAATAATAAAATATATAATCATGGCTGACAAAAACAATTGACATGGAACTTAATAGGAAATATCATTCCTGTTGCCTAGAGGTAAATTTCGACCTGAAACTTTTCGTAGATTTCTGTTAGAAAAAGTAACGATGGAGTTTCCTTCAATAATGAATTACCATACTCGATTTTACAACCACTCCTAAATCATTACGACTGTCAGGGCTAAGCTCAAAAGGAAAAGGTGAGAATAACCTTTCTTTGATCTTCTTAATACTCGAATGTTTCTTTTGCATAAAGGCAACTACTTGCCTGAGCCACGACCTCAATCGAATTTTGATACAAGGCTAACCAAAGACATTTAATTAATAAATATTAAATTTAGTTTTATATAACACAAATAAAATTAGAATTATTTATGATTATCTTTATTTTCAGGATCATCATCGATTCAAATATCATTGATCACATTTATTCTTCTAATCGCCTCAGCATTGATCCTGTGAAAACCAATGTTAACTAGCATAAGCTTTGTATTTTTTTTGTTAAGCGTACTACACTACTTTTATTTTAGTTAAAATTGGTTTAAAAAAGAACAAAAGAAAGAGGAATAATAATTTTAAGTTCAAAGTTTTTATTTGTTTGCTTTTTTTGTTATTATTTTATTGTTGTGGTGATGCATTATCATCAACGATGACTGCTTCCACTTTTTTTTCTAATGATTTCTTAACATCAGCTAATGTTGTTTTATCATTACAATCGCTTTCAAATTCACTTGTTAATTTTGTACTATTTGACATAAATTCCAGTACATCTTGATTATTATTTTTATCGGATAAACTAACAAAGTCAGTGAATTTATGTTGAATGAAAATTTGTGCGTGAGAACGAAAACATATTTCACTACGACGGTGATAGCCAAGAAGTGTCGGTTGCTTCTTAGTATTTTGACAATATAATTTCGAGCCAACGGTAAGAACATTTGGTGTATATGCTTCTTGCACTTCTTCACTGAGTTTTTTATGAAAAAGATGTTGAATACATTTTTCTCGTTCAGCAGTTAGAGAAATGCAAGTTTTATCAAATTTTCTTGGGTGACTACAAAGTTCTTTTGTATGCGAATGATACCAAGACCAACATTCACGTTGTTTACTAGACGATGGACGAAAATCGGTTAGATTAAGATCGTATACATCATGAAACACAAGACCGCGACCTTCACGAATTGTGATTGGCTCCTTTATGTTGAGGAGACTAGGTCCACTTTCATCGATGTCATTATTTGTTTCTTCAACTACTACTTGTTCTGCTGTGTCATTGGCTTCTTTTTGAACTTTTTGTTCTATAAAAATAGTTGATTTTTTTCTTAGACAAATTCGTAAACGATTTTCTTACTTTTCTTCTTGTTCGCATCTTGAACTATTTCTACAAAACATTGTTCTAAATTAATATTATTTGTGTTTGGTGATAAACATACAAGATCATTCTTAAGTAGCGCTGTGTCTAAGGGTGTTTTTAATTCCAGAAGTATTTTACCCCCAACTTTATGTGATGTTTCAACCGGTAAACGACGAACAATTTTATTCAAATAGTGTTTATTGTTTTGATCGGCACTTAATCGTTGGCATTCTTTATTTACTTGTAATAAACTTTGTGTAAGTGGTTTTGCTAAGCAGAAATCATCACCTAATCGTACTAAACAGCAATTTTCATCATCACCAACACCATCATCATACGTATAAACATAATAGGTGGATTCAACTCTTTGTACGACTAATAATGTCAGAATTCCGACGACAAAGAGAGATGAATGCATTTTTTTATTTCTTATAACTTATATCACTAAGCAAAAAAAAAAAGAAAGCGTTGAGGAGTAGCGATAATTAGTATACAGGGTGTAGTTTTGCGGCAGAGCGCCTTCTTTTCATTTTTTTTCTCTCGCTTGCTCATACATCCGTGACCGCAAACATATCAAGCCAACGAAATTACTGTAAGAAAAAAAAAACTAACGTAAGTTTATTTACTGTAAAAAGAAGAAGAAAACAAAGTTATATTTGCTTTTCTTATTGTATATATATATATATATATATAACGTCGTTTATCATCGAATCATACTAGTGAATTACTTTTCCGCCAACTTTTCTTATGATAAAAAGTATCGCCGATTATGTTGAATATTTTACAATATGAACTGACCTTGATCTTAGCTTACGATCGATTCATTTCGAAAGAAGACAATCAAATAAACTTTATTGTGGAAATTAAACGATGATTAGGGTTTCTTTTTCTTTCTCACGAATTATATTACATTCAAATACACAATAAATAGATTAATTCGATCGAAAATATTGTCTAACTATGTCGATTTCTCTCAAATCGCCTATTATTCATGGTAGTTATGATAAATGGTATTCATTATTTATTCAAAGTGTACCATCATAAACAATGTTATTTCTTTTGAATGAATCGTTATTATGATTGCAACTAATGATGTATTCTTGGTGTTTTATTGTGAAATTAAGAAAAAAATAACTACAACTTTTTCAAGAGTGATTAAAAAGATAGTTTACGTTTGATCAACTGAACAAAATGTACAAACCAAAAAAAGCATAAAAACGAAAATTTCGTTTCGTTTTATTTAAGCCATTAGTTATCGTTTGAATCTGCACCAAAGAGAAGCGCATCGTCACCAAATGTTTCCAGATTTTTTTCTACTTCACCCATTTCAGCATATCCTACAGCAGTACCTGTCGTCGCGGTACATGATATACGATCGAAAAATGAAATTTCCTTCTTATATGAGTTTGCTTGAGATTGTTGTTGGCCTGAATCATTATCTGGACGTGATCCTGTTGAACAAACTGATGGTACACGTCGTGTAACTAGTTCTTCTAATGCTAAATAACGACAAAATTCTTCGTTGGCCTTTTCGAAATCATATTGACCCTCATTGGATATTAAAGCATCGGGTATCGAATCGAATTGAACAATTGAATGCGGACCAATATCAATACTCAAACTACTGCCACTGCTCGTGCCAGAAACCGTACGTGGACCACGACGGGAACCAATTGGTTCTCCGAAGGTGAGTGGTGGTTGTAACGGATTAAGATCTCCGGTTTTTCCATTTTGATATGGTAAACTACTTGTCGCACAAAGAACAACGGGAGATCCGCGTGGCCGACTATTGATTGGTACAGACAAACGTTCTCGTATTGGTGGTTTGGACAATATCGGATCCCTTCCGACCGATGATGATGACGATGTTTGACGACTTAGCCCTGAATTAAACGAAAATAATAAAAACCTAAAATTTCGAAGATAACTACCTGGCATTGTTTCATGGTTTGATGTTTTATTTTTAGATTGTTGTTGAGGATAAGATCGCTTATCCGAATAGGATGCTGGATAAATAGGTGTTGGTGCTTGCATATTGAATTGTTTTATTGTTCCCATTTGTCGTGGAGGAACAAATCGTTGATAAGACCAAAGATGATTTTGTTGTTGTTGATGATGAACAGCAGGATTCGCTGGATGGATTTCACTGGGAATTGATTGTGTATGGCTTATTGGAACCATATACAGTAACGGCGGCCGAAATATATTTCGTTCATAGAACGTAAATGATGAATTTGGATGAATGTTTCTTGGTCGTTGTGGAGCAAAAAATGGAGTAGCATTTGGATTTAATTTACTTGTAATGGTTACACGAATCGGCGATGTTTTACGACAATTATCAGCAGTTTGTTTTTTCACAACATTTGAATCAGCACCATTTGCTGATGAAAACCTTGTTTCATTATTTTGTGTTAATATTGGCCGAAAATGATTTCGTTCAATTTTTTTCGGTAAAACTTTCTTAGCGACTAATGTCGCTGGTTTCGAGATATCTTGTGTTGTTGAAAGTTTACTGAATTTTAGAAGTTGTTTATTAAACGAATCATCTAGACTTTGTTCAATAAATAAGTCACCAGGCATAAAACTTATTGTTGGCGATGATTCACTTGAGCTGGATGACAGCAATCCACTACTTCCAATCGATTCGTCACGTGTTCGACGAGCTATCGGAGTCGACTGAGAATAATCTTTCACTGATTCATGTGACATTCGATCGTGTTCATCGGATGGCGAAAGACGTATATCAACAAGACACGGATCAATGGAGCGTAATTTCGCTTTCGACTCATGAAATGTTGCTGGTAATCGAATGAGTTTTAGTTCTTGTACGTCTCGAATATTTAAACATACTTCGTCATATATGCGCATATCATTAGTCAAATGATCAATCATAACAGAATTTATTGTGTCAAGATCTTCCGTCGAGTTGTCTAAATAAAAAAAAATATCATTTTGTTTTTTATATCAAACTAAACTAAAATAATTAGTTCACCTTGATCCGAAGAATCAATTATATTGCCTTTAACACGAACATTCTTTAAAAAGATTCGATCTTTATTTACACTTATGCCATCAAGAACTCCTTCATAAGAAATATGTGCCTTTGAAACAACTTGAACTGTGCAACCATAATATGGACTGTGGGTAATTGAGCTTGACTCCTCGCGATGTTGCTCTTGAAGATGCATTTATTCTAATGTTTGTATGCAAGAATACAAGAGCAGAAATATATCAAATATTTTCTCTCTTCTGCTTGAAAACCTTTTTTATCTTTATTTTTTCTCTTCGTCTTATGTTCTGATCATATCAAAGTTAGGAAAGGCAAAAAATAATAAATGAAACGTCTTTCCATACAAATCATCTACATTCTTCTTATATTAATTAATTCTTTTTTTTTTCTGTTCTAGAAAAGGTATACTTAAGTATGCCTCGTTGTTGACGAAACGGAGAGAGAGAGAGAGAGAGAGAGAGAGAGAAATGCAAAAGCAAAACGATGATTATTCAGGTGACAAAAGTATTTTTCGATTTCTCAGTCAAGCGTAAATACGAAAGGAAACAAGATACTGTTGACGAATAAAATACATCAAAACAGCAATAAAGATTTGTCTATTTCGTCATGTAAATTTTTAAAGAAGAAAAATATTTTATTTTTATCGCGCGATATGCATACGTATGAAAAAAGTCATATGATTTGATCAAATGGTATGCATTGACGCAATATGTTTCGCTTTTGCTAAGAACGTAGAAAAACTACAAGATATGTGCTTGTATAATATCGTCGATGATTAAGTTTATGCAGTCAATATTGTATAAATCATTTTAATCACTTTATAATAGTTAGCAATGTAAACGGTTGATGCAAATGATCATAAAGTCGCAATATATGGTTATAACATTGAAATAGTAAATACTAATGAAGATGATGATTTTAATATGGTTTCTATTGGTAGTGTGCACTTTAGAAATGGAATCATCTAAGCGAAAGTAATCTTCAAACTAGGCATGTAAAGTAATAATAATGCCAATAAGAAGAGCTATATGATAGAATAAGTCAGAATAAATGGCACACCTTCGATATTTTATTTTTGATTCAATTTTCGTCACTCAAAGTTAATTTATTTTTCGAAAGATAGACAATCTTATCAGATGATTCGTTATACTGATAAATTATCTGGGGAAAATAATGAGCCACAAAATTACCAAGAGAAAAATTTATTTCATATCGAAAAACGAAAGATTCTGTTTTGTTGGCTACTCCAATTTCTTCCTACTTCGATCTCTTGGAAAAATCATCAACATTTCGGACGTCACCAGATTTTTTCCGTCAAAATTTGAGATTATCTTTCAAAGGTCTTGCCCTTGCCTACCTATTTTTCGCTTCATTTGACGAGAAATGATTATTTTATTGTGCTTACTCAACCAATTTGTTACATGTGTCATCATTGGACTTTAGATTTTGATGTGAAGAGTAAAATCAGTTCGAGAAATTTATACTACAAGGAATATCGCTTAAATATAATTCTCATGACCTTCCGCGAAACATCTGTATTGAGCATTGTGAAAATAGATAAAATGTCTTCTACTCAATTAGATGCTTGCTACACTAATAGTTAATACTTCGAAAAAAACATTTATGAAAATCCAGGAATTTCATGGCTCATGAATTTCTAGGTGGGATTCTTGACGAATTTTTTAGGTGAAAAAATAAATTCTGAGCAATGAAAATTTAGTAAATTATCGTACTTTGTGTGCGCCAACTACACTGAGTCGACGACAAGTAAAATGAAACCGCATTCATCTCATTCAGATGTACGCTGGATCATTGATTGAAGAAGATCACATGGAATGTTAACTGTTTTCTAACAGAACGAGAATAGAGATTTTGAGTTTTTGCGGGTGTTTTATTGATAAAAATGAGTAAGATACAATGCGTTACATAAGCAATCATAATAATAGTTTACATCTGTTCAAATGATCGTATTATATTAATGATGAGCCGATGCCATCTCATGTGTTGGTTCAACAATATTCATAAATTTTGGACAAAGAGGAGCAGAAATCCTTTTGTAGATCGGAATCAAAAGCAGCTTGCAAATGACAAATGTGGTTGAACACATTTCAAGACACAAACATGCAAATAAGAGAGTACGAATTACAATTTCTGCCTGTTTAGCAATAGGTGATTGATCATTTTTTATGTAATATGATGTTTCAGCTATGTTAATGGTAATTGTAGTTGATGTAAGATTAGCAGTCATTGTATACGTGTCAGCTGATATGAACATTTGGCTAAGACTATACGTGAATGTCGGATACCATATACCTTCGAAAAATGAATCACTACCCGACAATGGTCCTGTTTCGTTGATAGCCTGTAGAAACGAAAAAGGTCGACATATTTTCAAACCTATTCATTTGTCTGGTCAGCTATAAAAAAAACAAATATACTCAAATATTGACTGACCTTAGTGAGTCCCATACTTATTGTTGCTGCTTGAGCAAGAGTTTCCGCTGATGGGCTATAAAATGATTGGCGAAAGTTTAATTCTTTTAATGAGCAAAACTCGGTTTCTGCGCTTGGACCGTCCAGGCCAACCATGATGCCACCAACAACTTGAACTTCACTCAGCGTAGCCGTAATTTTTATGTCATGTTCTGGCAACAACACTCTTGCTAACAGTGTGCCATTTACCTGAGAGCATGATAAGAAACGTAGAGATACTGTTGCTGAATCAGTAACTTGTGAAATTGTAAGACTCGCACAACTGGCAGCTGTATTGATGAATTGTAAATATAGAGTAAAATTTTGTTGATTCAATAAATCAAAAATGATTTGCTGGTCACTAGATATGGGCACAGCTAAAGCTTGAAGATTTGTTGCAAATTGTGCGTTTCGAATAGTAGTATCACAGGCAAAATTTGATGGTCCTACTGATTCTGACGGATATTGATTCAAATATGAGTTGGCGAAAGCATAAGCCATTGCTGTGGTTAAAATAATAGCTAGTGATACCAGTCCGCCAATCCATAGTTCACCTTCACCCTACGATAAACATATCAACAGTTAATTGAAACAAAGGAAAATAAAAATAAAATAGAGAATTTTTCGACTCACAATAAGATCTGTTCTTTCAAAAATCATCTTAACCGTAAGGAATAATCGGTCATGTTGATATGATGTAACACACAACCTGAGAAAACCCACGCCAATAAAGAAAACAAGTAACACAATCATAAGCATCACTGTCCAGAAAATTGGTGAAACTGAGATACAATGACCAGTTGAATCGATCGAAAACATATGATGAAGAAGTACATCTTCGTATACATTCAAGTCAGGTGAACGAGGATATGCATATGCTTGTGATACAGAAGCTAATAAACTCATATTTATTTCTAGGACAGCTCCCAATGGACAAAAACCGTCTGACGAACATGGAGTACAGGCTGTGCCAGTCGTGCCACCTGAATTTTGTGATCCACTTGGGCATAATGTGCAAGGATGAACGCCAGCATCTGATTTATAAGTACCTCCTATGCATGTAGTTGAATGACTTATTACAGGCATTGCAGCAGCTATGGGAGAATAAGTTGTGTCTGTTGATGCGTAAGAACCTGCGACTTCAGATAATACGATAAGAACACCGCCGTCTGTATCGAGTACTGCAATTGATGATGGTGATGATACCATGCGAATTAATTTTGAATTGATCGTCGATGGCATTGGCTGTTGAGCATTAGGAAAAACAGCCGATGGTATTGAAGAAATATTGCTATCACTTAAGTTTGTATATAAATAAACTGTCGACGAGTAATATGTTAAATAATTGGCTGAATAAGTTGTAGTAAGAATAGCTGCTTGTGACTCTGTTAACCAAGTTACACTTTTACCAAAACCAACTGAATTACCAGTTCCGAGTGAACTGGCCAAGGTGAGCGATGTACCACTGTTACCGATGACAAATAAAAAAACTGTATTTAAATAAGGCATTCCAACAAGTACTCGAGTTGGATCATCAGAATTAATTTTCACTGACATCGTATATTGACTATTCCAAGTACTACTACTTGAGTAAGTTAAACGCGATTGCCAAGAATTATTTGTGGCACTGTAAGACCATGTTGATAAGACAGTAAGGTTGCTATTCCATATTAAATAAACCGTAGGTGTAGCTCGTACTCGAGATCTAACTGAGCCTGCAACATAGCCTGCAACAATTGTAAATGTAGTACTTGCATCAGCAGCACATGGATAGAATGTCGAGTTGTTTGGCCAAATGACACTACTCTGTTTAGTAGTGAGTGTTGTGCCTGAAAAAGGTCGATAAATAAAACCGAATTGTGTCGCTAATCCAATTACATATTGTCCATAAGGTTCAACAGCCATGACAAAAAAGTCTTGATGTCCATATGAAGAAATAAATGCAAGATTGGCAACTACAAAATGATCACAAGAAAAAGGTTGTCCGCTTGATACATATTGTTGAACTGATTGCGGATCTTGATTAATCCACACACCAATAAATGTTCCATTACGTCCTGCACTATCAGTATTTGAAGAATCAGAAGATACAACTTCACCGGTAAAATAAAAGTAAGGATTCGCAGTTGTATTGCAATTCGGTGCTACGCCTACTGAATAAACGTAATGTGTTGAATCATCAAAATTAATAGTACATTGAAGTGGATCAATTATAAAATTATATGGAGCAAATTGAACAAGAAACGTTTCTGCATTACCATTTACTTCGACGAAAAGAACATCGTTGACAGCTATTTTAAGACCATAAGCATCGTAATCACTTTTTGTGGGTGAAAAGCTACTGATCGCTTTTAAAACACAACATAAATTAATCAGAATAATCAGAAGATACATGATTTTATTTAGTCTTTAGAACTGATCGAGACGCTGGTTGAATCTTACTTTTGAAGAATATCAAATGAATTTAAAAATAATAAGGTGAATAGTATACTGCAAATGTTTTTATAGTCTTCTTCCGGCAATTAAAGTAAAAAAGATGTTACGTTTCCTTGCTTTCTTGAAGTCTGAACTGTTGACAGTTTTCAGCAGAATTAGCAAAAAATAAACTTTGTCTTTTGACTAACGGAGCTAGTTGGCGACCAGTTTCTCTGCGCACTTTACCTGAGAAAACAATAGCACTTTTTTTCCTCATTGATTCAGTGTGTGCCTACATACGTAATTGTTCAGATAGAATTGTTTTTCCTATTCATTCATAGCCAATGAATATCAGTCTTGTAGTTTACTAAATCATTCTCATGAGATACAACAAATAGACGAAAATGCATGTATTAAATGAAATGTACACATTGAAAAGACAATTTCACCTGTAAGAAACACCTACATGGTTTGGTTACTTAAAACAAATAAAAAGCTTTTCTGATATGCTCCTATGCGAGGGGAAAAGCGGATTCCGTCTATTCGGGATACGGTCACAATTCAAAGGATATGATGGCGATACGTACGATACCATTACAATCCAGAAGATATCTGTGAAAAGTTGACTGTAAAATTTGATGGAGTGACGCAAATATAAATTTATACGATGCAAAACATGAGATTAATATCGAGTCAATCCTGTGAACGATTTATCATTACTATCAAAGAATTTGAAGTGTTTCTTAACATGCATTTTTCGTAGCTAATCACAAGATCTTATGAAATTGGATGAATTTAAATTCAAAATAAAATTATTCAAATAGTTCGCTGCCTAATTGTTCATTTTCTAACGTCCAATCTATCAATGTACAAGACAGTCGGACTAGTCGAACGATAGAGCAAGAGAAAAATAACAAATTTCTATCTAGCTTGTTCATAAACAACCTTTTCCGTTAGACACCATCTCGTAATTCTCTTGTATCTCGTATTCAAATTCTTATTTTACAATGACATATTTGATATATTAAAGTATGAGTGTAAAGCATTGGATGAAATTAAAAGAAAAGCTTGTCTTTTACTGAATGATAATCGGTATATTGTTAAACCTGACTGTAAAAGTAATATGCGTTATTTTACTCAATTACTCAATTTGAAGAATCAAGAGCATTTGAAATCAAGTGGTCTTCGAATGAAGTCAAAAAACAAGTCGAATGATACTGATAATATTGGTTCATCAGTATTTCAATCACCAGCACAAGTTCTTCCTCCATCTTCACCATTATCACAAAGCACGATAACACAAACAACAGGTTAGCATATAAAAATATTTGGTTCGATAAATTATACTCTTTTAGTCGTAGATATTTTTAACAATTACTATTTTTCCATAGTACATTATTGGAAAAAATGAGGGAAGCCTTAATGTTCAATTAATTCTATTTTTAGGATAACTATGCGTCCCAGATCGCCTGTCACACGCTCCTATGAATTTATTGCATCACGATAGCGATTATTTAAAATATATGTGAAGGAAAGAGAAAATTACTCTTCATTTTGTTAACTGCTTGCACAACAGAAGTTAATCAGACAGAGTTATCAATTAAAAGCCTAGAGAAAAAAAATAAGAGCACGCGATTTTAACTACACTACGCTTCTATCATAGCCTGGATTTTGGTGAACATACTAAAAATTGTTAGACGTAACTCAAAAGCAAACATTTTCATGTTTATGAAGAAGACTAGATCTTAGCTTAGTAGAGATTTGAATAATAGGTCATCATAACTGAATTACATATGTTGATATATCGACTGATTTATTTTCATTATTCAATTGTGCGAATAAAAATCATTAGTTTCAAGGTAAAGTTTGAATAATAGATCTAAAGTACTTGTGATTCAATCGAAATTTACTTTCTATATAATTAGAAATATAAAGAACACACCAACAGTTGTACTTTTTTTCGAAAAGTGATGTACCCTGATGAATTGCAGCAACAGAGAGATACCTATGACGAATATTGCAACTGACACAATCACAGATGAAATCGTCTCCATTTATATGATCAATTGCTAGTAGTAAAATAAATATTGGAGCTGTTTACTTCTAGATTGCTCAAATCAAAAGCCATAAGAGCTACTCTATCGGTTCTTGCGAATGCCGTGCTCTATTGACTTTATAGTACGTACAACGTAGGCAGTTTTCTCTATGTGTAACAGTCAGTTAGTTTTGCTTCGATTAGGATTTTAGCATTGTTTCGTATAGTATTTTATATCATTTCGCCAATTTAATATTCAAAAATAGAAAGAACAATCAAATAGTTCGCCATCCAGGGCAATGATTCCGATCGTCGGAACGAGCATCTTAAAAGGCCTGAAACGGCTATAAAACGGCATAATAAGGCAATAATTTTCACCTAATTTCACCGTAACCCGTCAACTTGTTTTACGGACCGTTTCTACACTAAAAAACGACCATCGTTTTTAACACTATATTCGTCGTTTCCGAGCTGATGGAAAATGGTGCCGCTTTTCAACGTTTTATACCGTTTTTACGCCGTTCACGGGAGTTTACGCACCGTTTTCTTGGACATGGGCATTTTATTCCTATTTGTAGAACTCTATAGCATACGATCTCGCTTATTTTACTTAGAAACATATAGAGAAACTCAATAAGAGGGGTTGCCAAAAAAACAAATTTCATTCCTTCTGAGTACAGTAAACACTAAGAAAGAAATCTATATTAAACATAGATATAATATTTTACTCAAGGAACTGTATTGCATTAGATCTTTTTTTATTAAAATCATGAAATAAAATCGATTGAAACTCGAATGTACTAATTTTCATTCCCGGTTGATTATTTCAATATGAATTTTATGACATCTTGAGTTCCTAGGTCTCATCGGTTCAATAATCAATGATGAAAATTACGTTTCTGTAAAAATTATAGCCTAACGATATTTTTCTTCAGCACAGAATTTATAATAACTTTATCATGTGCAAAAAAAAGACCTCTAGTTTATGAAGAAACGTTAGCCATTTCAAATTTATTACGCTTATCATTCTCTTCGAACTGCAAGTGGTCACAATTAAAAATTACGTTTATTCTCTATTTTCAACTATCGATGGATTTCATCGATTGATCCAAACGCATATTATAGTTAAGTTTAGAAAGTCGATTAAAATAAGAAATATTTATATACTAGGTCCTTTTTGTCGATAGTCCATACACATCTATAAAGAGTTATTCGTTTTTCGAAGCATACCATAAGAAATTGCCTATAAAAGAAATCACTAAATATAAGGGTTATGCTGATTATGGGTACTTTGTTTTCAGCTAGTTACCTTTGCCGATAGATATTTGAATTTATTCATAAACTTCTGTAATAAATATTTAATGTTCGAGTCTTTATTTTATTAGAATTTTCCAATATTTTATAATAATGAAAAACAAGTGATGAATTTATTGCTCAAAACAATCAAATAATTGTCCCATTATATCAGTTAAGGTTGAGGATACTTGCTTAGCTAAACTATCGCCCCAAGTGATGTCACCATTCGAAAGTAGTATTACGCCGAGGCTTCTTTTTTCATTTGCCATCATTGTATGAGCAACTCCTGGCATCCATCCACGATGTCCTACTAAACGTCGATTATTTTGATATCGCCAATTCCAAATCAAGCCGTATTGAACATCAGGTTCATCTCGTGAACCTTCTTGTCGACTAACATGAAGCATTTCATTCATTGATGACACGTTTTGAAGAAGATCAGGAGAAAAATTATTAAGAAATAATCGAAGATAAATGGATAAAGAACGAGCTGACATACGAAGCATAGCAGCTGGATAAACACTAATACTATAATGAGGTATATAAAGCCATTCGGTTGAATTCGGAGCCTGCAAAATGAAAATCTAATAAAAAATAGTTCTTGGAAAATATTTCTCTTACTTGAACAACGTTCAATTGTGGTATTATTTGATGATAAATACTTAGCAATGATACATTGTAAACATACTGGTCAACTAAATCTGTTTTTCTCATTGTAAAACTAGACAATCGATAGCTGGCATCACTTGTTGAAATACCCAATGGATCAAGAATTCTTTGTCGAACATAATTTTCAAATGTAAGACCAGAAATTCTCTCAATGGCAAGAGCACCCCAGGCAGCACCGACATTCGTATAATATGTTACATTGCCTGGTGCTTCAGATAGCCAACTTAATTTGTTTAAGAGATATCGAAGAACGACATCTGTCAAATTTGTTTTTACAAAATCATCACCCGGCATTCCATGATGAAATTCTTCTTCATAATTTGAGCCGAGACCCGATGAATGTGAAAGAATATGACGCATAGTGATAATGGACTGTGGATGTGATGGATGAAATATTCGTATTGGAAAGTTTAAATATTGATTGATATCAACATCCAGATTGAGTTGACCTTTTTCGGCCAATTGCATAGCTGCCAGAGCAATAAATGTTTTTGAAAGAGATGCTAAAACAAAAATTGATTTCAATGGATCGATTGGATACTGATTTGAAATAGGTGAATGAAAACCAAAGCCTTGTTCATAGAGAATGTCACTTGAGTTTACCACGATTGCCGCAAGACCAGGAATATGAACAGTTCGTAATTGATCTTCGATCCATGTTCGACATGGAGAACACTGATGAGCTGCAGCAGTAACAGTAAAACCAAATAATAAATATAAGAGCATTCGACGATCTATTCCTGAAAAACACAAAATAATAGGAAAAGCTTTGAAAATTAAATTATTTTTATTAAGTGTAAATTGCAAGGAGGAAAAAGCTGATTTAAATCACAGTAAAACTCAACTTACAATCAATATAAATTAACTGTATTGGAATGAGTTTACGTGAGTTTCGGTGCCTTTGAATGATTTTCAGTAATAATTTATGATTTGGAATAGTTTTTAGTTAGTTTAGCAAATTTTTCGTTTTCTCAAGCTCATTTTAAATCAGCTAAACTCAGAAAAATCATGAAACTCATAAATAGCTTTTCCCCCCTTGGTAAATTGACTTCCTAGACGAACAATGAGAGCGAAATTTTCAGAAACTTTATCGAGGTGTCCTTTTTAACAGTCATATTTTAAAGAGTAGAAGCGGATAGATCGTTGAGTATCGACGACCTGCCTTCGAGAAAGATATAAAAAAAACACCGGGTTCGCATAAATTTCACCGCCATAAACACATCAATTAAGTCTTGTTATAAAAATCCACTAGATAGAAAGTTTGATCAATTATCAGATTACTTTCGAATACCTTGTATTCGAAAAAAAGGATTAAATCAAATGTCATTCGACGATATTTTCTTTTAATCGAACAAGGCAATGATTAAGAGATAAGTAAAGTATAGCTTCGTATTATCTTACATCGGGGAACTCGCGCAGAATACCAGCTAAATACTTACTATGTCTTAAATGCATTGCATCTTGAAATTATTGGCACCTTTTTCCTTGACGTAATTTATGTATGGAGGGTTACGCCATCTTTTTAAAGAGTAAATTTTTAGGTGATTCGAAGCTATTCTGCATGACTCCATGAAAGCAAGCTCGGAAGATTTTTGTGTTCATTTACTCAATTTTCTATGATGATGGGTTCAAGCCCTGCTAAACCAGATGCTACTGTTACAGATAAACTGGACTTGAAGTCGGAACCAGTGCCACTCTATGTACCGTTAGAAGCTCTCACAGAGTCAACTGTTCGTTCTATAATTGCAGCTGGAACTTCATCTGATGACCTATCTCCAGATTATAGTCAACGAACTCTTCTAATTTTTTTACTGGAAATAAACAAAACATTAAGAGAAATTGAAAATAGTACGGAAGATAATGGTCAAAAACCGAATGAAAATATTATTCGGTGTGCAGAAGATGTTCGACAATGGCTTGTCGACAAAAACAACCAACCATTAAATTGGGATGAACTTCATAAGCTATGTGATATGATGAAAAGCGATACTCGTAGTTCTTTGGCACATTACTATAGAGTTAAAGATGCAGGTCCTTACTTCGAATTAAAAATGGAAACTGTGAGTTTTTCATAAATCTATTTCCTACGTATATTTTGATTAGAGATAAACAATAGTTTAGGAGTTTGACGTATACGGAGCAGAAAAAGTGATGTCTAGCGATTATGATGAAAAATAGTTTCAGAAGAAAATTTCACATAATTTTCCAATTTTGTTAATAATCAACCTAGTTAAATTATCTTTCATATTGTTGCAATAGACATCAAGTCAACGATTTCTATTGACATTGTATCACTTTATTAGAAGTATGACTCACTGTATGAGTAATCCCGAATTGGTTAAAAAGAGGAGAGATCGAAATATCATAAGGCAAGTTTATGTTAACTTTATTTCTTTAGCGAATCAACGATGTAAATCGATCTCGTGAATACATGGCTAAGTTTCGTAGCGCGGGATACAACCCTGACGAACTTAAACTCTATTGGAATGCAGAACAGGTGGAAAATCTCTGCCCAAAAGAAGGAGAACAACCAGATGCATTTCCGCCACATGATCCATCAGATTTAGATGCTATTAAAAATCTTCGTGCATATCCTGTTGTTGATCGAAATCATGATGTCAAGATCAGCTACATCGACAAAGGAATTGAAAAAGCCGTTTTTGATATACCTGAAGATGCTCAAATTATTGTTCTGAATTTTGCGGTAAAATCTTTTTTCCTTCAAGATTCCTATTTTCTGAATTCTATTTGATTTCTACAGAATGAACAATCACCTGGAGGAGGTTATTTGAGGCATGCAAGTAAGCAAAATTTTAAAGAATTCATTTTGTCAAAAGACAATTTATATGAAACGATATTTTCAATGATCTCATAGAAATAAATCTTTAGCAAAAATAAAACGATGTCTTTTTTTTCTGTAGTGGCACAAGAAGAAGTTATTCTTTACAATTCCGATGGTTACCGTGCGTTACTTGATCTGAAATATAAACGAATGAGTGATGGTTATGCTATACCCGAATTTGGTCTAGCCTATGTTCGTAATATGCGCTTTTTTCACTCAGAATCTATTGAACGACATCGTGCAACAGACATGATGGTTTCTGCATGTTATTGTTTAAGTTGCCCTCAACTTTACGATAACCCAAGGAGTACTGAACAGGTAAATACGCAAAAACATTTTTTCCTTATTTTAAAAGGATTCCTCAATATCATTATCAATTTTATTCTAGCGAATAAAAAATAACGTAGCTAAATTTCGTGCGTTCATGTGTGCAGCTGTTGCCAATACCATCGGTGATGGTAGTAATACTTATCTTTTACTTGGTCCTATTGGTACTGGTGCATTTGGAAATGATGTTGAAGAAATCGGTGAATGCTTTCGTGAAGTACTCGATATGCCTATGATGAACTCAAAAGGTCCTATTCGTCATGCATTTGGTCACATTTGGTTTGTTTCTATAGATAAATGGAAAAATGATGCTTTTGAGCACATTTTATCTCAGAAATAATTCTTATATTGCTGAATAATTTCAATATATATTTTATATTCAATTAAAATATTAAAACAAAACTTTGAAATATCGATTTTGGCTAGGAATAAAACTTTGTATTTGATCGATTTTTATTCGAGATCTATTTTGCAGCTTAATAAAAATAAACGTCGGTAATAAATCATTGTATTTATTATTGAAAATAATTAATTCAAATCTACATAATTCTGCAGGTTAAGCAGACTGTTTTGATCGTGAATAGTCATAGCTATATTAATATTATTTGTTTTAGTGAAAGATTAATTTTAAAATATTTCTTCGAACAAGTTTATCCGATATTCATCTGCCTAATTTTGAAATTAATCGAAATACTTTCAATACAGCTGATATCGCATGAATGCAGAAGTTATAACGCAGAATGACTGTCATCTTGGTTTTTAAAATTGAATTGTGTGCAAAAAAATAGTTATCAATAAGAAAAAAAGGCCAAAACATATTGGAAATAAAATTTCGATACGTATTTGTATTTCGTTTCTCCGTCGAATGAGATTAGAAATACATTCTAAAATTTTTGAATGATCACACAATATTTCTGGATTATTTTGAAAAAGAAACGCATTAGAAAAAAGTTACAGTTCATTTGATTAGTTGGTTGATTAAAGCTACACTAATATTGTCTTCCGTATTAGCTAACATTCTTGTCATGCCTAGCTTTTATAGATATCAGAATGATAAGATTGTTTCCACCATGCAGATGGTGTCAAACTAACGGGATCGCTATTTGATATTCGCATCAGTAAGCCATAACAAACAATATCCTTCGTAATAAATTGCTCATTATTTTTACCTAATATAATCCATTCTAGTTCATTATTATCGAAATTCGGATCGACCTTTACTGTTGCTTTATATTCATTTTTTATTAATGTTTCTGGGCCTATTTTTTGAACAGACTCTGGATTAACTCGACATTGAAATACCAATTGATACCAACGATCTTTACCATTTTTCGATGCTTTCTTCCATGGACGAGCGTATCGTGGATGAGCACAATATTCAATACTAGGCGAAACATAAACTCGTGGTACTCCATCGCCATAGAAGCAACCGTTTGTGCTCACTCGAAGCCCAGATGTGAGAATTTTCGATGCATTTTCATCTTGTGTTCCATGATAGGCAAGATACCAATTACCCCAACGAGAATCGAACTCCTTTTCATCTTCAGCCACTTTAACACCGAAACGTGTCCAGCCTATGTATTTAGAAAAACTCTACATGTAAACTATCGACTGAAGAAGAAAAAAGAACATTTTACTTTACTGACCCGAAGGACAATAATACGGTTTACCACCTTGATCAATTGGAGTTTTCCAGTATTGCCCTTGCTCAGGAGGACTATCTGGCCATGCATACTTTTTGTTCCATCTAGGATCCATAAGTTTATCCTCAACTTTCAAGCCAAATTCACCAAGTGTCATCGATTCTACATTTGCATTTAGATCTTGGCAACATTTACGCACTGCATTCATTCGTGCTAAAGCATCGGGAGCAGTTCCATTTAAACTATCGACCACATTTTGACCATACGGTGGCTGAACAAATAAATTTATAATACCTGTATCTATTCCAATACCACCTATACGTATAGCTTGAGTAGGTATCTTAAAAGCTTGGCATAAGGTTCCACTAAATTTTTCTTGAATGCCATTAGTGTTGGCGGCCCATTGTTTTAAATCGGTTTTATCTGAATCTAACTGAATTATGATGGGCAGATCTTGGGCTAAAATATTTTAGAAGAGAATTCTTATTATAACCTTATTTAACTCGTTGAGCTAAGGTTGAAGTTTTACAATGAACGTTTTCAGCGGTGCAAAGTTTGCTTTCATAAATCATATTTCATTATTGAAACAAAAAAAGGAACACGTACTTTTATAGAGCCACACTAAAACTTAACTATTCAAGACTAGAAAACTTAATCTACCAAACAAGAATGAATCAATACATGCAGGCCTTCTTCTTAATAATAGACGTTAGATAAATAATAGTATTCGGAATTTGCACAAATATTTTATCGGATTTAACTTACAGTCTGGTCTTTTAATATCGCCTGAAATAACAGGAATACTGTTTGGACTGCTTTTTTTTTGATTACTAATTGTTCTTTTCAATTGTTGATCGAATTGTGCACCATTTGTTGATCCGACAGCTAGTCGACATAATAGAGCAGCTAAACCCAATTTTTTTGCTTCTTGGGCAATTCTTTTTCTACCAAATTCTGCTTTGGAGTCTCTGATTTTAGCATCGTCTAGTTTTAATAAAAGAAATTCATCGAGAAAATAAAAATTCAATATGAATCATAATTTACATACATGGGTCTTCTGCTTCTTTTCTATTACGAACTCCATCTCGTTTTTCAAGCCATTTCGTAGTATACGCCCCGATTTGTTCGATATCACTAGTGTTTAATTCATCAATAAGTTTTTCAGGATCAGTTTTATCTCGATCTTCTTCATCGAGAATTAATAAACGATTAACAAACTTGCGAATAATTTCGGTTTTTTGTGATTTCACAGGAATGACTGTTCTAGCAGCAATTAATTTTCTTGCATAATCAAGTATTCGACTCGATGAACTTAGAGCAGCAAAATTACTTTCCGTAGCAGCTGGATTGATTTTTTGATTACGACGATTAAGTTCACCGACAGCATTACCATATTTTTCTTTCCACCATTGTTGAGTATTATGAGCAAAAGTATCCGCATCACTTTCTGCTAAACTGCTGCATAATTCCTGAAAATTATTTTCATTCACTTGCGCTCGGCGAAAAGAAGCAATCGACTGATTGCATGATTCAACAAAGTCTGTTGTTCTCGATTGTGTTCGGGCTAAATTACGTATTCGATTAAGATAATTTGCAGTAGCATTGATCTTCGTCGAAATCTCGGCATTCAATGTAGCTATGCAAACGGGATCATCGATAATTGGCTTTTTATTGTTAACCATATTTTCATCCTCACGAAGATCTTGAATAAACTGATCAACAAGGGTTTGATCTTCATGATGCGAACCTTTATTCTTCGGGCGAGGTTTTCTGCTATTGGCATCACTTTGTTCTTGTTCAAGTCTACGACATTCCTTGTTTTCTTCTTCTTGAAGTTCCTTCAAACGATCATCAATCACTTTAACTTGTTCATCGATAAAGTTACCGAGACAAAAAGCTAAATCTTCATCCATGCTTTTCTTCCACTAGAAAAAGTAACAATATGCCAGCAAAAGTATTTCTTTTTCGTTTAAGTAAAAGTATAGTTTTCGGAGAAATTAAAGGTAAACTTGAATTTCTAATGATGACCGAAAGACAACATAACAGAACAAGTAGCAAAGAATTACTCGTAACCTGAATTTGCTGCTTACTTAAAAATATCAAACTTTTTTTAACAGTCACAACACATACGCCTGTTCTTCAAACACAGACAAACGCATTATTGACAAAACTTGACGAGCATGCTCATGAGAAATGAATTCTAAGCACATTTTTATTCAAAAGAAATCAAGCATTTCTTTTTGTGTCTACAATAAATTTAACTGTGGTAAAGAAAAAAGAAATTTCTATGGCTTGATCTCAAATGGAATATATAGATTCTATTTACTTGAAATAGGTGACTTCAAGGATTTTAAAAAAAAAACAGAAACAATCATTAATGCAGTTGGAAATATTCGAATCATAGAATATTTGATATTATGGATTGGCTAAAGTAGGAACCTCTCCTTCTTGACATCGTTCATTATAGATAACTTTTCTTGAATGAATTATTTTCTCGAAAGTTTTGGTTAATTCTAATGTTGACACACACTTACACTAGATGAAAATCCTCGTCACTCATATTCGTGTGGTCTCGTTTGCCATCTAGCAAAATTGAAAGCTAGCAAATGTTAATATTCTAGTTGAATAATGAAACATTTCAGGATTGCTTATCCTAACTCAACTCTATGACTAGAAAATTCTTATCAACTCATTTTTCTGAATTTAATATATGCACATCTCATCATGTCGGTAGTGTAACAAGGAGATCTTGAATTACTGAGTCTAAATTCCTAGCAAATCCTTTTAAATTTGCCAAATTTTGATTATTACATAGATTTCATTTAAATGAATTTTAATGGTCAAATTTTAAACGCACGTACATATCCCTTGGAATAAAAACTTCCGTTTGAGATTCAAATTATGATAAGTTCAAGTTCAAGTCAAGAGTAGCTTTAAAATTGAAAACTTTATTGAATTTTAATTTCTAGTTCTGGCCGATGAAAATCAATTATAATCAAAAATGAAAACAGTTAAGAATAGATCAGGTGTAGATGATCATCATTGAGAAACGTCTAGTGCATTTTGTTTCATACGTTACCCATGATGAATCTATTGGTTTCTGTGCTTACAGTAGACTACGTAAAAATTATTATTGGTGATTGATTTAAAATTTTTTTCATTTCCCGAGGTTTCTTCGGTGACAACAATAGATACTTGCGAACAGTAGTCGTGCAACCTAATTCTTTCAAGTCCGTCTGTAGCCCAGCAGTGTAAGTTATGGAGTTCCTGTCTTTGGTTTTGCCAGAAGAGGTTCAGCTCTTCAGAATCAGTTTTTGTTAGATTCCTCAGCACACAAGATTAGTTTAGCATTTTACCAGCGTACGATTGAAATAAATGAGAGGAAAAAACAGATGCGAAATCAATACTCGTAGATTATGCAAATCCCTATGAATCATCAAAACTCATATAGACTGATTTTACTTCCTTGTTTCATCTTTATTTCAAAGTCATAAAAAAAGTTAACATTTCACTTTCATTTGATTCCATCATGTTCAAATAACGAAAATTTCTTCAATCAAATGTATTTTCGTATGCCATATAATTAGACGCATCATGAACTATGGTCATTCATAGATCTTTTTTTTCTTTAAATAAACCGATTAGAAAATTCATGATTTAGACAAAGTACTCAAGTGAATGAAAATAATCTGCCAAATATTTTGCCACTTGTTTGACATGTATCTGCTCGTTTAATTGTGTATCTCGATTCCATACCAAACATAGACCGTTTTTTATTGAATCATCGTTCAGTAATATATGAAATGGTATATGATCAGCATTTTCATTATCATCATTTAAACGTAACACACGTAGATGATATTTATATGATAATAATTTTGATAAATAGAAACTTAGTTCAGTTGTTTTCGATGTTGATTTTATTCCGATTTGATGTACTGCTAGTAATGGATGTAGAGATTTCATTTCCGAATCAATTAATAATGTTACTAATGTATGATTTATATTTAATAATAAATTTAATGACGAATTATTATTTGATTGAATAGTTTCTAAATGATACGGTTCAACATTCGATGAAAAATGGTAATTAATATTAAATTGGTTCTGTTTTATTGATATAACTTCAAGTTTCTCACGTTTTGAAAAATATTTCTTCCAAAAAGATGTTCGTTCATTTGCCAAACGTACTAAGTTAATGTCATTTACAGGCTTGATATAATTTATACAAAGATAATCATCATTTTCTTCTTGATTTTCACGTTTAAGAAGTAGCGGAGGATGAGAATTACTATTTGGAAGTTTTGTTTGCCAACCGATAGTCATATTCGGTGTTTGAATAACTTGATCGATTGAATCAACCCAAAGAAAATTATATTGGCCACCATTATTTTTTATGAACGATTTAATCCATTCGTGGCGAAAGTAATAGAAAAGATTAGAAGCAAAAGGTCCATAATGAAATATTAAAGAAGACGCGTCATTGTTGACTACAGTGGAAGAAATAGACTTTAAGAAACCATTTTGTAAACCTTTTTGAGCGAGTTGTTGAATTTGTGATAGCATAGAAAAAAATGAATACTATTATTAAATATTGATTTTTGTTCTAGAAATTAATTTTATTGTTGTGGCTTTAGTTTTTATCGTATTTGATAATGAAATTTTCCCCATTACAAATCGTTAAAATTTGACGATATATTTCAGAACGAAGTGACATAGATGGCGTTGGATACGGAAAAGAAAATTTGTTGCATATATATATATTCATTCAAATCTTTTAAACATTATTTAATCAATTGTGTTTAAGATGTTATGATTAAAACTGATGCCCTGTGTACAAAAGATAGTATGATATGTTCCCAAAGAAATTTTCTTAATTTTATTTACGTCATTTTCTATATTCATGGTATTAATCAGACAGAAACAAATAGTAGATCAGGATTGTTTATTATGAAATACGATTAGGAGTCATAGACCTAGTTTACCCTGATGTTGATCACTTCATGGGTTTCGAGACATGGCTACACATCAGGAGCGCCACCAAACCAGTGAATTTTAGCCGTAACAAGACACACTTTGTGCAAAACTATTTTCCGTTCTATACGATTGCGAAAACATTGGCTTAATTTAAAAAAAAATTAGCTGTGATAATGATTTTTGATTGTCTGTTCTATTCGAACCATTTGCTCAATTGAAACTATAGTAATCAGAAGTGAGAAACGTTTCTTTCAATAATAATTATAAACATTTTCTTTGACTCTCTCTTTCTAGCTCTAGATATATAGTCGTAAATCACAACACGGCACGAAAAACGTCCGGAAGATGCCGCTGATTGCTGATAGCAACAATAATAAAGATTAATTCCATAGATGAAATGAATTAATTAATAAAAAGGATCATGATATCTGCTTAGATAATGATGGATAAAACCATTTAATTTTCATCTTTTACAAAACTCAATAGATATTTCATTGGTGAATAATGACTCCAATACAAGCAAATAGCTTGTTGTCTCCTCATCATCAAATCATAAGTTGTCAATATTGATAATTAGACGAAATTTAAAATTGAGTAATGTTTTCTGATTCAGCAGGCAACTTATTTACTCTTAACTTAAAAAAATCCATTAAACGATCTTCTTTTCTTTTCTATGTTTCAGATCAAATGGCAACGCCACGGAAAAAACCAAAATTAGAAAATGATGAAGATCTCTTTTTATTTGATTTATCAGAACGTTTTCATTCGTTTTGCTATCCACAAACAGACGATGGAAGTCCTCAAGTGTCATTAGATGATCTTTATCAACGACTTAATGAACATGATCTCGAATATCGTTCAACCATAGGTTTAAATCGACATAATTTAAATCAAGAAATTCTCGTCAACGAAGAAAATTTATTTCAATCGAAATCATCAATAGAACAATCGAAAGAAAGTTTAAATGAACGAAAACAATATTTAAAATTAGCTAAATTAAAACGTCGTCATCAATCTGACTATTTAACTATGTTTAATGTTATCAATCGATTGCCGTCACGTGACATTTCACAAAGGAAACTTAATCAACTAAATCTTGAATATGAACAACAAAAATCAGAATTAGCACATTTAAATCAACGTTTATCTATCTATCAAAAACAATCAAAAGTTGTACTGTATTCTTTACTTGAACTTGTAGGATTTATTGATGTTAAATTGCCGATTAATTTCGAAGATGAAATCGGTCGATTAGATAATAATCCACTACTAGAAAGTAATGGAGATAAATAAGTTGTCGTTGTCTTTTCTTGTTAAATAAAATTCTTGGATTGTCTTTACTTTAAAAAAAAGTAACATTTTCTTATTTTAATCGAATCCATTGTTCAATTTCTTGCTTATTTTTGACAACATGAGGGCAACAGATTAAAAAGGAGAGTATAGCATTTTTTTTCTCTTGCAGAGTTCGAAACGGAAATAACTAAATTATTAGCGTAAAGTAATATATTGTTTGAAAAAAAATATCTTTGTACGAATATCACTTAGACACAGTAATCCGACCGTTATTATTACTCGCGAGACTAAGACGTTTCAAAGAAAAACGTTCGATTATGATTTCCCTAATGCGTCACTCTACTGATGGTAATAAGAAATTATTTCATTTGGAACTTTCGGAGAGTCAACGATCATATATAGATTTCCGTGTTGATCTACTGAAAGTATTTCTTTGGCTAACATCACATGCATTGTTATTCATCGATGATTGTATTTTTCTGCAAGACATCATCTTTGCAATCTGAAACTAATGATTATATTCTGAGAGAAAACTATCTTTACAAGGATATTCATAGACCAAAAGTCAACATATTTAATCGGTTCGAATGATATTTTTTATGATGGTGAAATAGAATTATTTTCTTTACTACAAATAAATCAATCGATATTACATCTTAGCTAGATTATCAATGAATCAGACTATATATTGATTTTATTTTAGATAATGCATATTATATAGATCTGAAATCAATATATTCAATTAATTCTTCTATTCTCATATAAAAATCTATGGCTTCAGCTGGTTATACTCGCCCACAAAACTACGTAAGTTGACATAATTATTAGATTGAAACTCACTCAGATTAATGCGAACATTCAGAGCAACAATAGAATTTGATTCTGTATCCTTTGTACAAAGCATTTAACATTGCAATAGAAGTTAAAATACTGTCTATAGAATTGGTTTCCCGTTCGAAAAGATTCAATTGGAAGTCTTAAAATGACGTACATAAGAAGGAATCATCAACCATTGACTTCTTCAGTGCTCACCAGACTCGAGGCTATTTTTTGTTGTTTCTAAATCTTGAAGATTGCTATTCTCATAGTATGAAATGTTATTGATAGAGATTTTCAATGATTTGAAGAAAAATAACTTTTCTTAAATAGAAATCTATTTTAGTTAAACATTGCCGATGATGATGAAGCAGCGCTCGACATTCAAATCGACTCGTAAGTGATATCGTCAAATACAGAAAATTAAAATGATTGTTTTAAACGTTTAGCAATAATACACAGTCCACAGGTAAAAATTCTGTCAAAGCGTAAGTAATTCTAAAAATACATTTTCGTGTTGAACAACAATCGCATCTTGTTTTTTCCTTCTAGACTTCATGGTCAAGTTCAAGAAGTTGTTGGTGTTATGAAACAAAATATTGACAAACTATTGGATCGTGATGTTGCATTAAACAATCTCGCGTCACGTGCTGACGATCTCCATTCATCGGCTACCAATTATAATCAAACGGCAAAACAATTAAAAAGAAAATACTGGTGGAAACATGCTAAAGTATTGCAAACATCTTCTTCGTATTAGATTTCATTTTCAATTGATTATTTTAGACAAATGTATGCATTGCTGGTATTATCATAACAGTTATAATCATCATCATTCGTAAGTTGACTTAAGTTTATTCTTCAGAAATATGAATCGAATCGATCAAGAGTTCTGTTTTTCTGACGCTACCCAAAATCTTTGATTCGAACATAGGATTAGAGATTTGTAAGATAAGGGTGTCGATATTTATTTATTTTTGACCGCGGTAAATTACGCCAGTAAACGGCCGTGTTGCGTGTTGGACATGGTAGATGCAAAATCTCTGGTTTATAACAAAAACAATTTCAATCCTCAGTTTTCTATTAGTAAACAAAAGTTGAATATAAAAAGTTTACAATGGAAGCAGACTACTGTATTTTTTTCCTCATTGTTCAGTAGATGAAGAATACACTTTGTACTGATTTAATTTACTTTTAAATTTAAACCTTAACATTTTTAGTGTCGATCGTATTGAGTCGCGGCAAAAAATAAACCAATATTATGATCTTTTAAACTCTCAATATTATCTGGTTTTATGGTGACATTTATCTATTTTATTTCTTTCTCAATGAAGCAAAAATATATCTAACTCTGCTTTTTGTCTTTTTTTTTTGTTTTCGACTCAAACATAAATTCAATAAAAAAAACCTTTTTTTGTCAACAATGAGCGTATCCTGCCGCGGAAAATGATGATCGTATATACATAAGTAGACAATTGAAAAATTGATTACAAGGATGATATTTAATTCTGTATGATCCATAGTAATTGAACGGCCGTCTGTACAGACATGGCACCCTGCAAGGATTCTTCATCGAACAATAGAATATGAAAATCAATAGGTGCGAAAGAGACAGACAGAGAAACAAAAAAAAGAGAAAAATCACAGTAGGAGGTCTCAATAAGAAAGTTTTATTTCAATATTTGATCCATCCGCATTGAAGAGAAAGTAATTATATGTTCTATTCGTTGTAGGATAATTAATTTCCATGAACGAATAGTTTTATTTATATAAAACAAATCACAAAAAAAGACACATTCTCTTAAAAATGCAGTCCAGAATAATGTTGTTGAAAATCAGCTGAATGATGGTAAACATTCATCGGATGCATATAACTTGACGATGCTCTATTTTTCGTTGGTACAAGATTTTCATAGGAAGATAAAGGTGATTGAGAACAGCTATCTGTTGCTAAAGAATTATTAATATTAGGCGATTGACTACGTTGATAATGATTGCTTCGTTTTGAACATGGCTCAGTTTTTACGCATTCAGACGATGAGACAGATTCATGCATTTTCATATGTTTGCGTAAAGCTAATATATATGAAATTTGATTAAAGCGATATTTTGTTTTTCTGGCAAAATAAAAATTTCTTACATGATGGATGAGTGTATGTTTTATCGCAGCCAGTAAAACGGCAATTATATGGTTTATCAGATGTATGAACATGCTGATGTTTTTTTCTATCAGAACTATTGGCAAAACTTCGTTCACAAAATTGACATTTAAATGGTCGTTCTCTATAGATGATAAAATTAACCTTGTGTTTGCAAGGAAAATTAGCGTCACTTACCCGGTATGTGTTCGTTTGTGTATTTTGAGATTTTCTGAACGTGCAAATACTTTTCCACATCGAGCAAACGGACAAGAGAATGGTTTTTCACCGGTATGAACACGTATATGATTAACTAATTTATATTTTGCTTTAAATGCTCGGCCATGTCGAGGGCAATCCGCCCATAAACATACATGTGACGATTGTTCAGGTCCACCAACATGTTCGACTGTCAGATGAGTTACTAGAAACATAAATCAGGAGATTCATTAGAACGAATTTCGATAGTGAAATTGTTAGTTGTTAGCGATTTTTGTTGGATGCAGATCATAAAATTGGTAATATTAATGCTAGTATAAAGTACCATGATAATACTTGTCAAAGATTCAAGTAGACTTCATTTTATCCGGCAGAATATTTAACTTAACGTCATTCACATGAAAGAACTCTACATTTTTAATAAATAAATTTCTTCGATATTTTGACTTTCTGATGGCTAACATAAAATCGTCGGATAAGATCTCTCCGTCGCTCTGAACTATTCCTCCAAACAGTTTGTTTGTTTTCCTAATTCTTACCAATATCTTGCATGTAAATAAATGCTCCGTTACATATTCTATTTGTATCCGGATTAATCCATTTACAGACGTAATTGGCATCTTTACCATCCGCCACAGTCGATGTTGTATTAAATCCTGGACGATACGATGGATATAAATAAGGTAAAAATGAACTTTGATCCATAGCATCCATAGGACGAGAATGATATTGATTATCTACATACTGTTCAGAATCGAACATGGAATAAGTCCTAGAAATAAATTGATATGAATTATAGAAAATAAAAACAATAAAAAAATGACTACATTAGCTCTTGTGTCGGATTTGGATATGCTGCAAATTCTGTAAGTCGTTGATGATGTTGCTGCTGCTGTTGTTGTTGCTGTTCGTCAAGAGTGTTGGGTATATTAAATAGAAAAGATGATGACGGATTTGAAGTAAACGGTCGATATGCTGTTGATGCATAAGGATTTGGATACGATGATATTGCTGTATTGAGAGTTCCATCAATAGATGGATGTGTAAGATCGAACATTGATTTAAACAGCTGGAGTTTTAAAAGATAAACTTGATAATTATTCTCACTGTGTGATGTTTTTGTCAACAATCTCAATAGGAATTAGCACTTGCCGATTTCTATTGAAACGTAAGGTGAGATATGTCTTTAAAGCTCAACAGGGTCTAACTATTGATAGTTAAATAATAACTCCCGTAGGCTACCTATTGATTATAAACACATACGCAGCTATTTAGTTAAAGTCTTTTGATCGTCGTCGTTGTCGCGTTGTTGATAGTGCGTATGAAAAATAATATCTACCAATAAGGACATAAAATAAGAAAAAAATAGTAATGATGTAATTTTTCTTTTGAGATTATACGATGGGACTCCTGAGGTGTAAATCGACTGATAGAAAGAAAGGATATACGCGTGTTATATCCAATCGAGCATTTCTTTTTGTTCCATAGAATAAAAACGGAAGGGAGGGAGAGAGAGAGAAACTGTAGGGTGCTGATTGGAGAAATCATGCTGCGCTGTTCTTTGCCCTAGTTTGATTTTTCTACCAATAGATGTTTTTTTGCCCGATAGTCACGAATCGACCAATAAAAAAACGTTAGTCGGTTTATTTTTCGTTTTCTTATTTCAGTACAAAATTAAATCTCCGAGTCAAAACGAATATTGTATTAGTTTGTTCTTAGCATTTTTTTTTCGTTCTTCAGCCGGGAGTATTTGAAACTTTTTCTATTCGAAATAGAATATTTTGATTTTTTTCTTGTATTTTACAAATGAAGAATAAATAATTCTCTCAGAAGTTTATTGGCATGGCGGAAGTGGGCAATTCGAATGTCTTATTGTGTGCTACCGGATCTAGTGGGAAGAAGACGTCTGATAGTTTTGCGTATGGACCAGTGAAAAGCTCATGAAAAACGTTTTTTCTCTCGACTCGAAATAACACTCTCAGATGTTGAAGAGAGGATAGTTATAAAGCTTCTAGATCCTCTAGTTTCACACACACAATAGAATCGCTCAAAATTCTCTTTCACTAGGGAGGCAGTCTTTACTAACTTCCAATTACGAAAATAATTTTCTTCAATATCCCATATGATCTGTGATGATCGTACTAACTTCTCTAATCTTAACATGCTTTTTCATATTTTTCTATACGATGTTTGTCACCCCCTGTTGTCCACTTGTCATAATCATACCTCTCTAGAAGTGAGTTGTTTGATCCTATGACATAATTTACCTTTTTGAATGATGATCTCTTGTCGTGCCTTTTGATCAAGTTCGATGAATCGAAATGTTAAACAAACGATGAATGTAACCTACTTCTGTTTTGTTTCGTTCATTAACTGACTATTATTAGCAAAGGAGTTCATTTTCTCTCTGTTGCATATGAATTCAATCTGTTACGCTTGAGGATAGTTCACATCGATATGAACAAATTAAACACATAGCAGGAACCGATAATTGAATTGCCTTATTGAGACAATATTTTTTTCTTCTGTTCCGCAGTGTAAAAATATCTCTCATCCAATTGTTAATTGCTTCCATACTTATTTAATATATTTGACAAGAAAAGAAGAAAAAAAAAACTTCTCTTTTTCTTATATCGATAACGTCATGGATAAATATGTTTGTATATTATTTTAGTCTATTCATTTGGGATGCGATGTGAAAAATGTAATATCATCTTGTTTTATTTTGATTCCTAAATTTAAAACAGATTTTTTTAATTCAATCGGTCATTCTCATGCATCAATATTATTCATCAGTGTTTTCGAATGGAACCTTCAAAATAAACATTGACCACCCCCTCTAGTCCTCATTATTATCATTGACATATAATTACTCAAATGAGAGCCGATCATCAGGTTCATCTACATATGTACATAATGAACAACAGTAATAGTGGGTGGGATAAGAAAATACAATAAACATTTTTCTTCGTCTAGAAAATTAAATGAGAATGACACCCATAGAAGATACTCGATTACTAGAGACTATCAGTCCGATCAAACATGCCAACGGTAGACTCATCTTTTCTTCTTGTTTTTTTTTTGTGAGGAAAAACTTATCGAATACCAAGTGTTATTTTGTTTTAGTAACACTTTCTTTGAAAAGTTCACTCATCACATAAGTGTGAACGATGCCGCAAGACATGTATATTGAATGTAATCATTCGATCCTTGTCATTATGATAATGATCGATGCCGATCATTAGAATAAAATAAAAATCGATCAATCAAATAATTTATTACATAAATAGTTAGTATAATATCTAATGTGTTAAATCATTTTTCGCCTATTAACATTCATGTGTGATCAGACAACTGTCGAGCAATGAAGTCAAAAAACGAGAACAACTTATATGATCGATTGAATAAAGCGAATTGACTTTTGTTTGATAATGAGCTAGAAAACAGGATCTTCTTTGTTTGCCGATGCCGATCTCGTTAAGGCAAAATGAAACATTTACGGGATTATGGGCCACCGTTTAAAAACGTTCTTTGATGAGTACATTCGCTCGTTCGTCATCAGAGCAGCTTAGACTTAACACCTGATGTGTGTTTTTGAATATAAATAATTAACCTATTTAGCTTGTATTTCATTTTCATATGACAAAAAATCGAGTTCTATTCATTTTATTTTAGGCCCAATTATAGAAATGAAGATGACTCTTGTGCGGCGCTGCGCTTCAATAGGAAATGTCATATACATTTTGTGCGTTCGTGTTCATCACATGAATTTAGTAGGACAGGAAATGTATGAAGCGTGTTATAAGTAACAAAAACATGAAGACGCCGCTTTTAAATAATAGTAATCTTTGCAGAAGTCTGAGTACAGAGATATTCTTAGCTTCATTGACTGAATATAGGCTTTTATAAAAATCTTGTTTTTCCATAGTTTCTCGTTGGATAATTAATCAACAAAATATTCGATGAAATCGAGATTTTTCAAAAGTAGAAAATTTGTCTTGATATAATCCAAATCTACAAGTTTTTTCTACAGCAGCCTAGAAATAAACTCAACGGGCTATGTGCTAAAACTAGCGGCTAATTAATTATTATAAAAATTCTCTCAACATTGTTTGACAAGTGTGTATCCAGGTGGTTTTAGTAGAATGTGTTGCAGATATCTGCTTGAAACTAAAACAACACACTTTAGGATAGATAAACAAAACAAGTTTAAATTGAAATATAGTTCGTTTTTGCAAGATTTGAGGTATTTGAGCTTCTTAGTGATACATTGCCTTTCTCACATATAAAGACAATAAATGTTCCGTAGGTGCGACGTTTTCATGACACAATATAAATAGTCACTGATGTTACATCAATATGAAGAAAAAACATTTCGAAGTGTTCTTTAGCAAAATGAATAAACACAAGATCATGCAGGATGGGTCTAGGAAATCGTTGTTGTAAACGTTAATGAACGCTTTCCCAATGGCTACGCAACAGTGAAATGACCAATTTGATGTTTATGTCTCGCAAGTGAGTCCTATGCGAATTCTTGACCTTCATAATTATCTATTTAACGTGAAAATAAATCTTTCTATTTATAATAAAAGCTCAGCGATCAGTAAAAAACAAATATTTTATTTAAGCAAAAGTCAAGCGAAGGCAACTCTTGGATTATTTGTTGGTTTCCTTCGATCGGTTTCATCGGATGGATTAGGTTTTGGAGTAACACCAGATTGCCAAGATGAGAAATCTGTTCGTTCGGACCGTTGACCACTTGAATAACCTGTTTTACTTGATTTTATTGTTTTTTTCGAACTGGCTGATTTAAGATGAAAATTTTCTTCAACAAAATCCGATACACGCTGTTGTATATCAGGTCGCAGTTGTATTGGCGTGGGTGCCGAAGTTTCACCTCGTATAACTGACTGTGGTCTTCGTCGGGATTTAATCGAATCGATTGGTGTTATTGGCGGTATGATTGCTGATTGAGCACGTTGTTCTTCTTCTAAACTACGACGACGACTCCGGCGACCACTCGATGCTGTTCGTGATGGATGATCTAAAAGAAGAAAAACGAAATTGATTTTATTTGAAGAAATACTAAAAAAAATCTCTACCAGGTGTTGGATTAGAGAGAATTGGAGGAGTCGATGGATTTGACATTCCTTCAAGATAATATTTCAAGTGCTGTAGTTCTCCAACAAGACGATGTACAATGGTGCCAACTTTTGCTTTTCGTTTTTCAGTGTGTCGAAGTAAAACAGTCAAATCATCGATATATTTTAAATCTTTTTCTGCTGCTTCATGTTCTAATTGTCGATCATCACCCCAACCGGATTCAAGAATATCTATATGATACAAGAGAAAATTGAAGGGAAAGAAAATTACGAAACAAACTCACTAATAAGACCGTGATTATTATCATCAAGACTTCTTATATCGACGCTTGATTGTTGAGAAAAGCGATTAAATAATTCAATTTGATGGGTCAAATAATCGATAGTCTTAAATGAGAAAATCCATTATGAATAAAACAAAATTAATGGAAAAACAAAAATTACTTCTTGAAATCGTTCATTTTCATCTTCTAATGTTTCTAATCGGCAACCTTTTTCATAAATCTCCTCTTCAAGTTTTAACATGTCTTCGTGTGCTTTTTCCATACGTTGTTTTGTATCAGATTGACATTCTCTAACAGCTAACATGGTTATATCGCGAGATTTATTTTTCTCTCGAATTGAACGTTGTACATTTGCAATTTTTTCCTGAGTTTCATGTTTTTTACGTTTTGTTTCAATCATTGTTTCTTTTGCGGCTTCATAAACACTTGTCATTTTCTCATGTGCTTCTTTAAGGTGTTGAAATTCAGGTGTGGTCTCACTTATTTTCATTCGGTTTATATCAATGGCAATTAACAATTGAGCAGTTGTTTCCTAAAAGCATAGCCCGAAAATTACTTAATCGTTGAGAATGAAACAGAGCTGGGCAAGTCAGAGATTTTCCAAGTCACAAGTCAAGTCAGACTTGACTTGACTTGATTTGCCCAGCTCTGTATAGCACTTATCGATTGTTACAGTGCCGCGTGCAGAACAGATAAGAAAGAAAAGAACACTAATTGTTACCAGATAAGTGTAATTGGATTCCAATTGTACTTATCTTGCAACAATTGATGTTCTTTTCTTTTATTGTTCTGTGCACATTATATTTACATAGATAAATAAATTTTCTCTTTTATTGTTTCCTGACCGTGGTGTATTCTCACTCAACATTAAAAAAATCACACAATCAAAGATCACAAAATTTAAAATTTAAAAATCTGGAAAATTCATAAAAAACAGTAAATTCGTCCAAAAATAGAAATGTTTTTTTTTATTATGTCAAGTCAAGACTTGACTTAGCTGGTTTGAGTTGACTTGGTCTGACTTAGCTTGACTTGACTCGCTTGACTTGACTTGACTTGCCTAGCTCTGCTTCATTATCTTATTCCAAAAAAATGAAATTAATTGTTATTTTTATGTTTTCGTTCCATTCAACAATTCAATTCAATCAAAACGAACACAAATGTAAGTATATATATTTTTCATTCTTGTTGTTTATTTTCTTGTAATTTTATTTTTTTGATTTTTAAAATAAACATTCTTCAAATAACTCAAATTTTCTTTTCATTTCAATAATAAATATTTTGTGAAAATAAAACAAATTATATTTTTATTTTATTTTATTAATAAATGTGTTAATTTCATAGATAAATATTTCCAAAATAATACAAATTTTCATTTAAATAACACAAAATTTTTCTTTTCATTTCAATCGTAAATATTTTACGAAAACAACACAAATTTTATTTTTTCATTCGAGTAATAAATATTTTTATTTTAAACAATAAATATTTTCATTTTACTAATAAATATTTTGCGAAAAGAACAAATTTTCATTTGGATAACACGAATTTTAATTTTGATTGTAATAATAAATATTTTCAAAAACACAATTTATTTTTCACTTTAATAATTAATATTTTTTGCGAAAAAAATCAAATTCGTTTATTTAATTCGTTTCTTTTCATTTAACAAATAAAGAAAAGAAGAAGAAAAGAAACATATGACGTAATTTTATATTTTAGCTTTTCTCTTTTCTTTGAAGCGAAAGAGTAAAAGAAAATTTTTTCTTTTTGTTCATTTATTTCAAAGAATAGAAAAAGAAACGAACAAAGAAAAAACAATTCATAAGTCTTATTTGATAGAAAATCGTTGAACACGATGATTATTATAATCGACTACATAGAGATTACCATGTCGATCGAAAGACAAACCCCTGGGACCGTCCAACTGATTTGCTCCTGCACCTGAACCGTTTCCGCCCACAATTACAGCGCCTTGTTTCTTGTCTCCTTGAGTCCAACGCATTACACAATGATTCCCCGAGTCTGCCACATAGAGTGTACCCAACGTATCAATGAAGATTCCGAGAGGATAATACAGTTGTGTCAGAGCATTCCCTTGGCCTTGTCCTCCAGCGACCACAATCCCTTCTTTTGCACCCTTATTCCATTTCATTACACGATGATTGTAGAAGTCTGATACGTATACATTCTGTTGTCGATCGACAAAGAGATATGTCGGGTAGTTGAGTTGATTGAGTCCATCCCTTTGTCCATTACCACCAGCTACGAGAGTGCCATTCTGATCACCCAATTGATATCGTCTTACTTCATGTTTTCCGACGTCAGAGACGTAGAGATATTTCTGATCGTCCATAGCTAATCCCCAACAGTCGATGTTGTCGATGAGTATTTCACTTTTAGTTGCGCCACTACGACGAGACCATCGTACAACTCGTCGATTCCCCCAATCACAAATAAGGAGACTATCAGTCCCTTTGTCAATTAATACATCAGTTGGGCGATACAATTGATTCAATCCATTTCCTGCACCTTTACCACCAGCAACAACTTGTGCATTCGTTGTATCACCGTTCTTCCATTGCATGATACGATGATTTCCGTAGTCAGCAATAATCACTGTTTGATCATCATCAACTAAGAGATCATAAGGCCAGTTGAGTTGATTAGTCGCATTCCCTTGCCCGTGACCTCCAGCAATAGTCACTGCGTTTTGTGTCCATTTAGCATTAGCAAGAATATTACCTAGAAGAGAAAGAGTAAGAATCAAAGGAGATCTATCACTCTCTCTCTTTCTCGAGTATAGCTAGTATATGAAATAATTTCGAAACTTTCGAGCAAAATTCTTTGAATAGATCATTCTTTTTTTTTGGAAATTCGTCAGAATAAGTTTTTTCTATACTGGAAAATTATTCTATAGAAAGAATCACACATATAGCATATCGTTCTCTCTCGCTCAAGCGTATTTAAATTCTATTTTTTTGTAGAAAATCAAACTTAAATAATTAAATCTAGTTAACCCAAGCAGACATTAAAAAGTCATTCAATCAGAGTTTCAAGTGATGAACTCCATCTATTTTTCCTTTTGTGAAAGTACAACATATTAAACGATGAAAAAGATGACATGCTAAGAGCATATATTGAGGGTATGGATGTGGGTGTATCGCGAGATAATTAATCGAAACTCTTGTAAGTAGTACAACCAAGAATACTAATGAAAATTGAATCGATTTTCTAATAACTTTATTGGCATAAATAATTTGCCGAACTCATCGAAATGTAAAATAAATATTTTTATTATTACTTAAAAACAAGCAAGAAATGTTTTGGACAATACCAACTTGTAATAATTTATTCAATAATGAGTTTACAATAAAACAAGATAGCAATATTGCGCTGTTAATAATAGGGTGAAAATGTTTCTCACTACAAGTCAAGTCTAACTATTTACATTCTAATGAACTATTTCTTCGAACAACTCAAATTTTAACTACTCTCTGACTTATAGTACTGCCCCATTCTCCACAATATATCGTGAGCTTATATACTAGAGAGAGAGAGAGAGAGAGAGAGCGAAAAGATTACGTACTGTTCAGTACGCGACTATGTGTTAATGTAATATACACAAGGATGTATACTATTAGTAATGTAAACTTAATTACGTCACTGCGATATGTTTATTGGCTCTATGATTTATAAGTGGAGGTTCGACGGTTTCTATAACCATCTATTAAATCTAGTCCTTCATGAGTGACGTACTTCTTGGCAGAGATATATTATCGATTATCATTACGTTGTATTTTTATCTTTAAACTTGAGTATCAGATTTTGCTTCTTTTCCTATGAAGAAACTATTTTTCAATCGTTAAATTTTTTTCTATTAGAATTTTTTTTGGTTCTCTTAAATCTAAGTAATTAGAACATTTCCTATTTAGAAAATCGCACATTTCTTACTTCTATGTTCTAGAATATCTTTTATTATACTCTATATAAATTATTTTGTGACATTAGCAGGAATATTAACTAGAAGAAAAAACGTAAGAATAAAAGGAAATCTCTCTCTTTCTCGAGTATAGCTAGTATATGAAATAGTTTCGAAAGTTTCGAGCAAAATTCTTTGAATAGATCGTTCTCTCTCTCAAGCGTATTTAAATTCTATATTTTTGTAGAAAATCAAATTTAAATAATTAAATCTAGTTAACCCAAGCAGACATGAAAAAGTCATTCAATCGGAGTTTCAAGTGATGAATTCTATTTATTTTTTCTTTTGTGAAAATTATATAAGAGTGATGTTTGCAAATTAGAACGTATCTAATATGAAGCGATCAAAATGAAGAACGAATATTGTGTTATGAACGTTTGTGAAAATATTTAAATTATTTCTCAAATGAACTTGTCAATTTTGTATCCACAGATACATAATATACACTGTATTTTTCTCTTTCAGAAGTAAGAATTCAACAAACGAGCTGTGATTTGTTCTTTCAGTACAGTAAGTGCACTAGTGGACAAATGATTTCGAAAAGGTCTTTAGAATGCATTTTTATCGAAGTACTTTTTGTTTTTCGTACAACATAAAAATCTGAATGATGGAAGGTGATAAGATATGATTCGATCTCATCACTGTTTTCTTGCAGATATGAAACTAACTTTCATATAGAGAGTGCCATTCAATTTCTTTTATTGTTGCTTGTAACAGTT